CGGTGAACAACGTTGACCTTATGAGCCATCCCGCGTACAGTCCGGACCTGGCACCTAGTGACTTTTATTTATTTCTAAAAATGAAGAACCAGTTAAGCGGTCAACGATTGTCATCACCTGAAAAGACTGTTGAAGAGTATGAAAAATATGTTTCAGAGATTGTCACGGAGGAGTGGCATAGATGTTTTCAAGATTGGTTCATTCGTATGAAAAAGTGCATTAACGCTAACAGAGAATATTTTGAGAAACAATAAATTCATTTTTGACCATTTATAGTATTTTTTTCTTATTCATTCCGGAAACTTATAGTGCGCTCCACTTATATAGTTGGATACACTAAAGTAGCCCCATAGTTTTTTTTTGTTGACCCAGGGGAATCTGCTTACAGATAACCCGGCCTCGCGGGGGCAGAGCCGGGTTTCTGTGAGACTGTGCTGAACCCTGAAGGGGAGCAACCCGACTGCGCTAAACCCTCGGAGTATTCCTCCTCTCCTCTGTAGGTGGAGGTACGGGTACGCTATTGCACTCGTCCGCGCCCACACTAGCGGCTGGCCGCGTCCTGTGCAGCCCCTCCCCGAGAAGGGAGACACATCGGTCCCCCGACTCCGAATGTGAAGCTCGCCGCTCTATGCTGAGCAACGAACTTCCCCGAGTCCGCTAACCAGGGGCCGTGGGGGGCTAGGACAGCCACTTAACTATGAAGTTCAGTGCCCGATCCCCCAGTGCCCGCGGCGGTTTTGTTGGCAGGTTCCGCCAAAACACCTAACGCGCATCCGCGCAGACTCTTCGAAAAGAGTCCCTTAGAGCGCCCACCGCACGGGCCAACCGCCCAAGTTCGGCCACGGAGGGTAGGACGAGCGGCAACGACACACCGACACGTCTCCTCCCCCGCGGCCTCACCGCCACCGCATCACTCTAAGCGGTGCAGGTACCAACTATGGGGCTACTATAGAATAAAGCTACGTACTGGTATGCTTATACATTATACACGATCTGCGCACAATTTTTTTCGTTTATTTTTTATAATGTCAAGTGACAGGACTAATAATAATTGCGCGGTCATGCGCGGTGGTCATATTTGCGCCTGTAGCATAACGTAATTTTTGATAGTTAATTTTTTGGTTTTGTTTAGTGAATCATTTGTAATCAATGCCACTATCAGTAAATGTGCTGATAATTGATCACGCCAATGCAGGCGAACTCTCCACTGTGAGTTTCTACACCTCTATTTACACTCTACATCACTCCAACGAGATAGTAATTTTTTAATAATGCACACACTCAACATAGCCCCGCACTTGGGAAGCCCTGTGTCGCGGGTGCCATGGACACACATAGGCATCCACAAATTACGTGAGAGAAATAAATGTAGGCCATGCAAATATTTCTCGCGGCCCGGGAATCGAACCTGGGACCTGGCCATGGTAAACCTTTCGCCACCAGGAAGTTTGACGACAGCTTGGAGAAGGCATGTCTTTTGTTTTCGCATGTGGTACTTCTATTTTTTTTATTTATGGTTCACCAGCGATTGTTGCATAAAGTACATTATATTTTACAATCGCATGTTGAAAATAATACTGTCACTAAACGAAAATCAATTTTATTTACAGAATCATGAAAGTTAATTTCCCGAAAGTTGAATTTTTCGTTCAGTGATAGTGGGTGTCAACATTTTCGATGAGGAGTCTTTAGCTAGATACACAATACTGTACTATGATGCATAACGGACGGTTGACGCTTACGGTTCTTAATATCTTAAAAAAAAGAAATGAAAATGAAAAAACCTGATTATTGTCACTTTCGTTCAATTCAATTATTGGCACACGTCCCATCTTACTTTAAGTAATGTTTTTTAAAATATTATTATAAGGTGCCAGTTGTTAAAACAGTGCCATCACCAGGTTTTTACCCTATTTTGAAGTAGTAATAACGACAACTTTTTGAACGTGTAAATGCAACTCTACAGTGTTTTTCTAAAGTAGCATAGAGGTCCTTGCGAAAGAGTTCGTCCAGGAAAGTACTGCCACTTTACCTATGTCTGCCAACTAACAAAAAAAATAATACTACTTCTCTATCAAACATAAACATATTCCGTTGTATTATAAACGGCATAATTGCAAATTATAACACACGCGGCAATCTGATACAGCATTATTAGTTTTACGCAATTTTCCAGTCAGTGCGCGTCTTGCGACAGCGCGTCGTGTGGCAAAATGAAAATCACAAGGACGCGTTAGGCGTTAGTATGGCGCGCGTGGTAAAATCAAACGGTCGTTTTTATAAATGTTTCCCACCCAGGATTATACTTGTTTACTTGGTAGGTATATTTATATTTGCCAGGTGGTGGTTATGTGTGGGTTCACCTCTTTTTCCTGTATGTTATGTGTGTCCAGGGGATGGTCAGCGGACAGGTTTTTGTGCTCGAAACTGTGATGTATGTTTTAGAGTTAGTATTTTTAGTGATAAAAAAATACGCGAAGTTCACTAGTTGCGTTTCATCGGCTAAATTTAAAAACCGAACTCCGTTTTTGGACGAAATCCATCTTCTACTCTTCAAGCGCCATATCGAGCGTATGACAATGGCAACTTTGTTTTACATTATTTATTATGACTGAAATAGAATCTTACCAAACATATAACACATCTACTTTTTTATATAAAAAAGTTTAAAAGTGTCAGTCGTCGATCTGACGTCACAACTACTGACGAAAAATAACCTATACTAAACTTATTTGAATGTGTTTCACTTGTTATGTGTAATATTCGTCTGCTTAAAGGTAAAACCACATAAGTGACATTCCACAAATCCACAAAAAATCTACAAATTATGTACCTGTTGTAAGAAAATCACCATCTTTCTGCATATAAAACCATTCATTGAGTTTATAGCTTTTTTCGTTATTGAGTTTCACCTGCAGAAACATAGTGATTTTCTTACCATAGCTATATAAAGACTTTTTGTAGAAATGTCACTTATGTGATTTTACCTTTAAACATTATGTTAGTAAAGACTGTTTTTGGAAAAGTAGATACGCGAGATATATTTAAAAAAATTGTTAATAATACCTTGGAATAATGTTTACATATTATTAGTTATTACTAACTATTTATAAAAAAAATCTCATCAACCTGACGGTTACCGGAAAATGTGCGAAACCGGATTCATCCACTTGTTTGCCACCCTTAAACGTGGGATATCAAACTTAAAATAAAATCAACGAAAAACGAATAATCATAATCGGTTCACAAATGCCTCGTTATCGCGTAACATACATACAAAAAATACCGCCGACTTTTAAAATATCTAAATAGCACACATTCAAGGCATTTAAACTAAAAAAAAACTAACACTTATTCACAAATAATAAACACACAGAAGAGTTTCTCGAAATTTATGTGCGAAATTTAATTTGAAATTTACTAAAACTTATTTTATTAAAAGTGTGAAGTCCTCAACCTGCATTGGTTCAGTGTGGCGCACTATAGCCTAAAACCCTCGCTTGAGAGGAGACCCAGCCGCGGCAGTGGAACGTATAAAAGGGTTGATATAATACGGTATATATTACTGGCTGGTGCCCGCAACTTCGTCTGAGTAAACTACTTAGTAGTACTTTGAGTATTCTACTGTACTATACTAATTTTCATACTTTCATTGGTTCTCCATACAAAGTTTCAATCCGCTATTTCACCCCCTTTACGATTTATTTTTGTAACAATAATTGCCTATGGCCTTGATCTATTCATATACCAAAACTTATAAAATTGGTCAGCTGTTTTAGCGTGGAAACGTAAGACAGACGGAGTTTCAAATTAAATCAAAACATAGACATACAAAAGAGAAAGAAGAAGAAAATAAAGAGAACTATCTAGCGCCCCCCAGTGGGCGCTGAAGAGTTCTCAGCAGGCGGTAGGGGCCTCGGAAGCAATTGGAGGGCGTTGATGCTGTCCAGGGGTTAATATCGCATTTGAAAAAATAAAACTTGAATTATCTATACATATATAAACTACATAACATACCTATACATTTTTTTCCTAGAACCTAGAAGGTCTAAAACATTGTTGTGTCCGTTACCTATTTCCATTTTAAGGCTTACTATTTACTTAATTAAATTAATTTAAACAGTATATTAGTTCTAATCATAAATGTCAAATCTTAATTTTAATTTCAATTCTTAATAATATCATACATGTCATTATTTTGTCGTAGTTAACTATTATTTTATGTTCTTGTCATTTAAATACTCGCTGATTTTTAAATGATGCTTTTCACCTCACTAGCTCGGAAAGGCTTTCTCATTAGAAATCTGCGCGCAAAAGCGTTTTTTTTTAATTCGTACTTGAAGATGAACTGTGGTGCACCTAACTTTTTCTTTTGATGAAAAAAAAAACAATGACAACTAGGCGATATAACGTACATTATTTTTGGTTTTTTATAGTTATTGTTGACATTAAATTGACAACGATAACTAATTTTGTTTATTAAAACTGATTTGTTATAGTTCAACTGTTTTTCTTTTTATCTACCATTCTCCTAGATAAAATGAGGTGAAAATTTGTGTGTTTCGCTCGGCAGCAAAGTTGTTTTGCGTCTCGTGGCTTTAATCAAACAATAACTTTGTAGGTTGGTATAACAAATAGCTATTCCTAGTCAATAAATTAAATATACGCTTTTTAAAATTGGCAATGTCATTTGTATCAAGTATATGATTTGGCAGCTTATTGTAAAGTTTTGGCGCCATCGCACAAGTTACTTTCGCATTTATAATGTTAGTTTGTAAGGCACTGAATTTACGCGACTAAATTTTGATACGAGTGGGACATAAGTATTCGTACTAAAAAGGGTATACTATTAAAAAAGTCAAAGTTATAAGCCCTATCCGACTCTCATTCGGGATCATTCGTTTCGATTCGGCTCCTCTGTGAAGGAAATGGTGTCATGCGGTTTTCTATACAATGTTGCTAATTTCTTTAATTTTAGGTCTGTTTTTTTATTGTTTCAGGTACTATGGTCGTTTCTCGGGTGCATTCTGGTGTCCGGCATATTTATATTCTTCTATTACTACAGACGAATTCGAGAGAAAGGTAATTTCTATCTAATTCTTTCTCTAATAGGTTTTGGTGACTTTTTTGGTAGCAACAACCGAGCGTTCAAATTTTATCGAGTTCTTAGGTTTTCGCGATTGTTATACATAGGAATGAAACTATTTTTCCGGATTTAAATCGCGTATATTTGTTTTTTCAAACAAACCGACGTTTCGGGCCCTTTACAGGTCCCATGGTCACGGTTGACTGAGGTGGTACAGTCTTCAACCAGTTATGTCTAATATTGATGCAAACCACCCTATTTTTTCACTATAGTTACAATAGTTATTAATTAAATACCTTATTTTTAATTTTACAAAGAAAACATTCCAATTTACGCTACATTAAGTTTTACAAATTATTTTATTGAATGAATTTTTTTATTAAGTTTAATTTATTATTAATTATTAATAGAAATTAGAATAAATTAAAACATATTAATTAGTACTGCAGTCTTATGTCTGTTTGGGATTTTTCATTAGAGGAAATACTGGATCCCAAACTGGTGGTACGGAGAAACCATCTTCCCTGTTGAAATTAGGATGTTTTTTAATTTCAATGGCCTCTCGCAGCATCCTGGGCAGATAACGGACTTCTTTTGCACCTGGGGTTTGTCAAACTTCATTGAATGTGTAGGTTTATCCATGACATGCTCGCAGACTGCAGACTTGTTTACGCGACGGTGTTTGACATCAGCTATATGTTCTTTGACGCGGGTACAAATACTTCGCTTTGTTTGTCCAATATAAGAGTTCAAATTTCAGTTGAAATTTTCTAAAAAACTTTTGTTTTCAAACCTACTATCTAGTATTACTTATTTGACAGTATTTTAGCAACAGTAGAGCTCCTTGGGAAAGAGTTTGTCCACGGTAGCTATGAAAGAGATTCAGCTCATTTAAGGCGTTTTATAAGGAGTCGACTCCATTTTACAGGACTCGAGTCTAAAATTAGGACTGGAGGTTCGAGTTTTTATTAATAAGTCTCAGTCGTAATACTAAAAGACTTGAACGACTTAAACGACGGTGTTTGCGATGAACTTATACCTATTTTATGTCTTATTAAACCCGAAGTTTATAAATAAAAATGACGTAGTATGTAGTAAGTAATCACGTTTATTTACTTATAATGAAATTTAAGATTCAAAGAGTGATTCAAGCAATAGGTACGAGATTTTAAGACCTAATTATATAATGATTGCGTAAATTTTTTTCTGCGAGTAAATTAAAATAATGAAATACAACCAATATTTAAAAGTGTATGGAGATCCAGTTTTAACGTGCTCTTTTTTATTTTGTGTAATATTGGTCTGTAACCACTTTTCTTATTATGAAGTCCTGGTACTTTTTTTAAACTCTTTAGAAATCCGTGCACAGTAGTAAGATACAATTTATTTGTAATATATAGAACAAATATATACATAAAAATCTCGCCTGTCACCCATTCAGGGGTAGGCAGAGACTGTGGACCTCCACTTAATACGTTCATAAATAGTATGTTTTCTTTCATCATTGTGGTCAAACGACAGTATCAACGACACTAAAATTTGATAAAATACTTTGACTGTTGGGTTCTGTATCCATTCATTTTTATATTAAAGAAACAAATAATTCCCAAAAAACAAATTCTTGAATTGGTTATAGTTAACTGACTTCTGTGAACAAAGCTACGTTAACGTTATCAATCAATCGTAACGTTATCAATATCTTGTGGGTAGAAATAAAATCACGCCATACGCTCATGACACGCGACTCCCGAGGCTATAAGGCGCCAGTCGTTTTAGTCCTACAAGTCTTTTAAGCTTCCTAAGGTTAAAAGACTTCGGCTCGAACTAGTCTTCAGTTTTAGTCTTATGACTCAAGGGGAAAGACTAGACTAGTCGTGAGGCGTTAAAAATTAGTCGAGGTTTTTTAAAAGGCCTTAAAAGACTGAGTTTCTTTCATCACTAGCTCATGACTCGCGACTCCCGAGGCTATAAGGCGCCAGTCGTTTTAGACGTTTTAGTTGTCTTAGTCCTACAAGTTAAAAGATTTCGACTCGAATTAGTCTTCAGTTTTAGTCATATGACTCAAAACTTGAGGGTTAAAAGACTAGACTAGTTGTGAGGCGTTAAAAATTAGTCGAGGTTTTTTAAAAGGTCTTAAAAGACTGAGTTTCTTTCATCACTAGTTCAGGGACGTACTGCCCGTCCATAACATAGCAGTGCCACTCAGAGCTTTAAATCATAAAGAAATGACACTGCCATTGCGCCTGTCACCTTGAGGCATAAGTTGACAAGTCCCATGTGTCTGTAATTTCACCAGCACCCTTACCCTTCAAAACTAGAACGCAGTAAAGGTCACATTACTGTTTGGCGGCAGAAATAGATAAGGTTTTAAAGGTTTTCAGAAATAATTATGGCTTTCACAAGGAGCTCTACTACTGCTACTAAACATTTATTTTATTAAATAAATTTCTTCCAGCAGACCCAAGTACAGGACACAATAATTAAATAAACGGGCTTACGTGCACAACAAACCAAATGATAATAATAGAATAATAACGCACACACTCATAGCCCCGCACTAGGAAAACCCTGTGTCGCGGGTGCCATGGACACACACATAGACAACCACAAATTACACCCAAACTCACGAGAGAAATAATTGCAGGCCATACATTTATTTCTCCCGGCCCGGGAATCGAACCTGGGACCTCTGCGTGGCAGACCTGTATGGCAACCGTTCGGACACCGAGGCAGTTAAATATCATATAACACGAAAACAATATCATAAAAATTACATAAATAGTTAGATAATTACGTATTTTACACGTATGTACTTACATTTTATTTACAGTGAAACTACGCACCTTATGTCTACTTGTACTAGTACCTATGTCTTAAACCAGTGCTTGCAATGCAAAAGACACACTTATTACATTGTGTTAAGAGTGTTTTATCAGTCAAATAAAATTCAAAAATATTATCTATAACTTACTGCGATTTATATTCTTGGTAGCGCCATAAACGTAAACATGTTTACCGTCATAGTTTACTACTTAAACAATTTCTGCGCAATTACGTTCTATTACTTCCTTTATAATATCCACCGCTCAAAGCGGCTATTGCAATACAATATTGCCAATGGTTGTTTACGTAAAATGTACTTTTATAATTTGTAATTATTGATTTATAGCGGCGATAATAATAATAATATTTATTTATTCACTATCACAAAAGGAACATAGTACATTGTAATTAAACATTGAACATGCCTTAATAAGATCTAAAGTTAACAACCTTAAGTGAGAAACTGGAGTCCGTCTAGGTAACTAGACCTGTGTTACAGATCTGCAGTAAGATCTCCAGCAGATAGTTCGGTTGAAGAACGGTTGCTTCTCAAATGAGAGATCGACGTTTCGAATTCCTGTGGCGACATATACCATGTACCTATGAATTTAATTTTTTAGTTACTTATATTTGAGGATAGTTGTATTTAGTAGCAATAGCTCTCGCGCGAGTTTGCTCACTGTATCCGATTCGTATTCACACCTAGAGATCCCTCCGACATTTCGTACCGTCATTTCTCGAATTCGGAACAGGGGGTCTAATCTCGATCTCCGTCCGACATCCGTCCGAAAAAATTACTGTCAAACAAGTAATATTCAACAAAATTAAGAGACAAGTATCCAGTATGAAGCTTCATTCGCATCACGCTGCTTTTCATTTGGTCAAGTATTGCTTACTTGGCAGTAATTGTTTCGGACGGATGTCGGACGGAGATCGAGAGTAGACCCTCTGATACGAATCGGACGTAGTGCGCAAGCGCACTTGTGGTGCGGGAAAACATCGTGACGAAACCTGCATCAGTGCTCCGTCTCTCGCTCAAGGTTATACGATAAGACGACGTCGGCGCAAGCGCTCAAATAATAAAATAATAAAAAATTAAAATTGTTTATTTCAGACAACTAAAAGTCCATACAAACTAGTATGTTAGTAACATGACACACCTTATAACTATATTAGTATTGTGTTAGTAGATTGAACAATAATTAAATGTTTTATTATTATACCTATTACATAATTACATAGTACCCAGCCTTCCAATCGGTTCCCCGACGCACACGTAGAACTTGTAACTCGGTGAACCTTCGGAAAACCGTTGCATCCATCTGCTATCATCTTTAGGACTTCGTTGTTGCTCCCCTTAACCCTTCGCACTACTGATGTGGATATTTTGCGCATAATGGCATAAAAATCGTCCATATCAGCACCAGCAAACATGCCAGATGCACTGCAGAAGCGGGGAAGCCTCAACAAGGTGCTAAAGGTGTTATTGAACTCTCAAGTCACCATATGATCTCAGCGTAAAGTTGGACCATAGAGCACACGTGTACAAATACTGGCAGGCATCAAAGTGTGTCCCACGTACATCTGAATATAATAATATTTTCGATTTTATTTCTGTTTATTAGATCTTTGTATTCATAATCATTACAAAACTATAGTGGAGTCATTTCACAAAAAAAAATTAATAATACGATAAATAAAATTACATAAATCTGTACACCACAAACAAACATTTGAAAAAAGATACACGCGGTTTAGAACCCGATAAAATGGTTTCATTTTCAAAAAATGTGTGTTGTTGTGTACTAAGCCTATTCCGATCTCTGATTTTGTGTACCAGAGTAACGCAGCTTTGGGAATGGTACCCGGTACCAACCTTTTCTCCTTCCATCGTGTTAAGCCTCTATATTGATTATTCATCAGAGCTGGTCGGCGTCGGCGGCACAACAGCAGTAGGAGAACCAGCTAAGCGATTTAGGAAGCGTGACAAGATGCTGTTCTACGGTAGACGCATGCTGAGAAAAGTAAAGTCAATCTCCAACTCGGGCCAAGGTCGCAAGCGGCGGGCGGTCATGAGGTTCGCCAGGAAACTGTTGCAGTTGAAGAAGGAATCTGCGCCTGAACAGCTTAAGGTGACAAAATATCTTATATCTAACGTTACTTTTACTTACTTCGCTGGCTCAGGTACCCGAAATGGATCTTGGTCTCCGACACCAAAATAAGTCATATCTTCGGACTTGTGCCAGGGAATCTACTCTCAAACAATTACTGTGAAGACAATGTGAAGTATGAGGCTTCATTCATCATCAATCATTCATTGTGTATTACTTATTTGACAGTAATTCTTTCGGACGGAGAACGAGAGTAATAATAATAATAATATAATAATAACTCACACACTCAACATAACCCTAGGGTGAGAGTATAGGGTGAGTTCCGACCATTCGGGCACATTCAGCTTCTTCAGGTCTTTGGCGACTCCATCCACCCAGAGATATCTCGGACGGTCCACTGGACGTTGACCTGTAGGTTGCTCCAAATAGGCTCCTTTGGCTGCTCAATTCTCACCCATTCTTTCCACATGTCCTAGCTAGTCGTAAGTAGTCGGGATTTTATTTCCCCGATTATATTCGGCTCAGACACTACTACTACTAACGTTACTTTTAGGGTTCCGAAATCAAGTGGAAAAAAACAAAACTGTACATTAATTAATAGATTCAGGCGTTACTTTGTGGATATATGGAAAAATTTATAAAAATGGAAGTAAATTTGCTACTCCGTGTACTCAATAAAGGTTAAATCATGCAAAATAGCTGCACATGTTTTCAATACTTTTTTCGTACAGTTAATAAAACGACTAACACGAGGCCCAAATACAGCCGCAAAAAATCACCACCTTATCAATTTCTGCCGCCAAGCTGTAAAGCTCACATTACTGCGTTCCGGTTTTGAAGGATGCTTGTGAAATTATAGGCACAAGTCTTGACAGCTTAAGTTTCAGGGTGACGGGCGCAGTGGCAGTGGCCTTCTGATCTCAAAGTTCTGAGTAAAATACCCGCCACATTTTTACATCTGTACGAGGAATTCTTAGTAGTGGTTAATTGTTTGACAAACATCGGAAGAATGTCGAGTGTGACAAAAAAAAAATCGACACAGCGCAGCTGTAACCTTCACTGCCTTCGTGGAGTAATAAGTTAATTTATTTCTATTATGTTATATTTTCATAGTTTTTACTAGTAGCAGTAGAGCTCCTTCCGAAAGAGTTTGTCTAGGGAAGTACTGCTACCTTACATATTTCTGCCGCCAAGCAGTATTGCTCACACTGCGGTTCCGGTTTTGAAGGGTCAAGGTGCTGATGGGTGCAAATTACTGGCACATGGGTCTTCTCAAATCATATCTCAGGGTCACGGACGCAGTGACAGCGCCCCTCAGATCTTTGCGATTCTAAGTTCTGAGTGTAACGACGACTGCTATTACGAGGCGTGTCACTTAATACCAGGCGCACGACTTCTTTGTACCGCCATAAAAAATCTTAATTACCCATAATTTCCTTCAGGTCCTGGAACCTCCAGCGGAATACCTAGAAGAGGACTTAACAAGTGACGATCGGGTCCCCCCTGATGCTCTGTACATGCTTCACAGCATTCGCGTCTTCGGCCACTTCGAGAAACCAGTCTTCCTTATGCTTTGCAAGCATACAGAGATCCTCAACTTGCCTGCGGGATCATTTTTGTTTAAAGTTGGTGAGTAAAAATACCATTAAACATGTAATGTGTTATTAAAATTAAATAAAAAAATATTTTATTCCAAATATACGCATTGGGGCCACCTGTATGTCCTATGACCATGGGGTATTTAGAAAAATACTGTATTTTTCATACGGGTGAGTCTTAAGGTGCTTTTTCACCGGCGAGGCGAGAGGAGACGAGGCGAAACTTGAAATTTGTATGGCAAAATTTCAATTCTCTCCTAGCGCATCTTCGGTGGAAATGGTCTAGATGCTTAGTTCCCAAAGTGGTCCAGGTGACCCCCAGGGTTCCACGGGAGACTCGACGGGGGTCTACGTTGGCGTGACGAGAAATAATATAGATATGGAATATGGTAGAAATATAGCTGCAGGGGGTCCACCAGAACCAGTTAAATTTTGAAAGTGGTCTATGAGAAAATAAGTCTGGGAACCTCTGGTCTAGATTGACGAGGATAAGTGAAACGAGAATTGAAATATTTGTTAATGTAACGTTGAACCGTATTGCTGCCTATATTAGTAGCGGTAGAGTTCCGTGTGAAAGAGTTCATTCAGATAAGTACTGCCATCTTTCCTATTTCCGCCGCCAAGCAATAATGTAAGCATTACTGCGTTCCGGTTTGGAAGGGTAAGGGTGCTGGTGAAATTACAGGCACATGGGACTTGTCAACTTATATCTTAGGGTGACGGGCGCAGTGGCATTGCCCATCATGATTTAAAGCTCTGAGTAGCACTGCAACTGTTATAGATAGGCGTGTGGCTTACCAACAGGCGCACGACTTGTGATATTATAAAAAAATGTATGTATAGACTATTATGCTGTTTAAATTCTGCAACGGAAACACGATTTCTCGCGCAAGCGATTAATGGCAATTTATAGTGGAAATGGGCCGGCGAGATTTCTATTCTCGTTTCGCCTCGTCAGGTCTCGCCTCGCCGGTAAGAAACAACCTTTAAAGATGTAATAATATTTAGTATATTTACATATAATGTACATTGACCGTTTAGCGTTTCCCTATTCTAGTATGTTGGGTGTTAGTAGGTTAAATAAGTTAGATCATCACTTTTAATGGTCTCTTTAGAGCAAGTAATGATTGTCCACCAGGCGACACCGACGAGAACGTGTACGTAGTGCAGAATGGCCGCGTAAATGTGTACATCACGAACCAAGACGGCAGCAGTCTCTCGCTGAAGGTGGTGCGCGCTGGAGAGAGCGTCACATCGCTGCTTAGCTTCACTGACGTGCTCACGGTTAGTAGAAGTAGAACTCCTTGGGAAAGAGTTCGTCCAGAGAGGTACTGTCTCTTTAACTATTTCTGCCGCGAAGCAGTAATGTGAGCATTACTGCGTTCCGGTATTGAAGGGTAAGGTTGCTGGTGAAATTACAAGCACATGGGACTGTCAACTTATGTCTCAGGGTGACAGGCGCAGTGCCTCTCAGGTTTTTGCAATTTAAAGCTCTAAGTGGCATGCAACTGTCATGGCGTCTAGCTTACCGGCGCACAATTTGTTTGTCCCATCACTTGATATTATTAAAAAAAAAACATTCAGTGCTAACGTCGCCGCCAGTACTTACAGGCAAATCAACCAAGTCAGCAAGTTGCTTACGTCGAACACTTTGGTTGGCAATTGGTGTGTTTCAAGTGGAAACAGTGATATAAAACTGCCTCTGTGGCCGAACGGTTACCATGCCGGACTGCTACTCAGAGGTCCTGGGTTCTATTCCCAGGCGGGGAGAAATATGTATATGGCCTACATTTATTTCTCTTGTGAGTTTGGGTGTAATTTGTGGTTGTCTATGTGTGTGTCCGTGGCACCCGCGACACAGGGTTTCCCTGGCGCGGGGCTATGTTGACTGTGTGTGCGTTATCTGTGTCTGAATATAGTAGTCAATTTCGTATGAATAAATATTTTTATTATTATTGTATAAATTGTATGAATATAGAATATTCACAGTTGACGGTTGATTGCATCCAACACAAGACACTAAAATGTCTACATTTGCGCGGCGCATTAATTTTCGGGTTTTGTTCCTTATAAAAATGTTCTTCCTAGTTAAATTCAACCATTTCCTTGCAGGGTAACTCGCAACCTTACAAAACTGTGAATGCGAAGGCATTGGAAGACTCACAGGTGATAAAACTACCCATGAGAGCCTTCCAGGAGGTCTTCAAGGAATACCCTGACATATTCGTTAGGGTTATACAGGTAATTGGATTTTAATTTAGGCCCCAAAAACTTCCATTGTAAGTAGCTTATTAAAAGTCCATATTTCTTCTATATATAATTTCTATAAAAATTATATGCTTCCACATGTAATTTTTCATATATGGAAGCTTTTGATTTCCATCTTATTGATTATATTTAAATCTATTTTGTAGAAGTAGCTGTAAATTCCTCAAAAGAAATGAATGAATTACTTGTGATGTGCCCCGATAGTTTTTCGTGCGGCGGCGGCGTGATAGGCGTGACGTTGGCGTAGCCTACGTATTACAGGTGTTTAAAAAAACACAAAGAGACTGTTTAATCAACCCGTGTGTTCATTTTAAACGTGTTATACATGTTGTATATAAATAAAACACTATGTTTGCAAAGAAAACAATCAATGATCTTATTTTAAATCTACAGGATATTACGTTATTCATTTGAATTGTACGGATTTTTTTTTATAAAAAATAAGTGCGCATTTGACCTCCAACTCACCTGATGGAAAGTGATGAGTAGGTCGACGATGTAACATGCACATGTAAACAATGCCTATTCACACTCGCCTTGAAAGTTCCAAGTTATAGCGTTCGAATAATAAGTCCGCAGGCAGAGAATTCCACTCTCTAGCCGCTCGCCATATAAATGTGGAAGCGATACGCTTCGTGCGAATCCTGGGAATATGTACAACATACGGGTGGAACCCCAGCCCACGTCTAGACCCCCGATGTTGGAAAGGGGAAGGCGGAATTAAATTATGCAATTCCATCGCACACTCTCCGTGATATATCCTATAGAATACCGATAAGCAGGTAACTTTACGGCGGTGTTGAAGGCTCTGCAGCTTCGCCTTTACTAATTCCGATTCACCTATAAGTATATTGTATTGAAACATAGTAAGTAATATCGGCTTCTTGATACTTTTACTAGATAAACACAATTTTCGTCACGCCGATTTTACGCCAGTCAAATTCGCCAGAGGCCCAATTAACACCAAGGCTCGATGACGCTCCTTTTTGGTTTATCATTTATAAAAATTACAAGTAATTCGCTGACATGAGTACACACACACATAATTATTACAAATATTTTTAGAAAACATGCATAAAGGAGCTTCAGTGACCCCAAATTTACTTTTAAGTACTTAATGGTGACAAAAAATTTTTCAAGACAGCATAGCTTTTCACTGACTATTTTAAAATAATTACGTCCTGTTTTAAATTTAATTTGTAAACTTAAACTTAATTAAAACCAAAATAATAATTAAGAAAATACCGAAGATATATGAAAAACATTTTTTTAAGTATGTGCTTATCGTACGAAGGTTGTTACCGCTTCATAAATACGTTGGTAGACACAAAAAATATCACAAACTAAAACGCCTGGCGCAACCTTTATAGCAACACTGCACTTTGGAGTTGTAGCATTAGCGGTCTTTGAATAGCTCGTTTTTGAGCCTGAACAACGGTTCTATCTTAATGTGTCAAAACTAAGGAAGTATTTCTTTTCTAACAGATCATTATGGTGCGACTACAGCGAGTTACCTTCACAGCTCTTCATCAGTATCTTGGCCTGAGCGCCGAGTTGGTGAATCCAGTAAGTATTGTTCGGTTACAAACAAGAATTAGGCCTTGCGACATTAATACTCTGTATGAGTAAACTGGGTAAATCATGTGTAACAAACTTTAGTCGATTTTGTCACGTAACCTATCTATTTTGTATCAATGGTACACGATGCACACATTGCCGCCACAAAAAATATTTACTACCAATAGAGCTCCTTGTGAAAGAGTTGGTCCTGGGAAGTACTGCTACCTTATCTATTTCTGCCGCCAAGCAGTAACGTGAGCATTATTGCGTTTCCTCAAGGCGACGGGTGCAGTGACTGCCCTTCAGGTCTGCGATTTAAAGTTCTGAATAGCACTGAAACTGTTATGGGTAGACGTGTTGCTTATTACCAGGCGAATGACTTATTTGAAATTATGAAAAGCCATATCAAAATGGCGGAAATAATCAAAATGTTGGACAGGATCTACGCCGAAAGGTTCATCATCGTCATTTCCATAATTTTACCCAGTCCATTCCATTTAATAAACTTTTAAAATTGTTATTTTTATTTTTAGGGCCGTGATAAACGTCGCCCCAACACGGTGATACTATCCCCCGGTAAAAATAAAGGAGGTGTAGACAACAGCACTAGCAGCACGCTATCTCCGCATCATAGCGAAAATAAACCCACCGTTGATCATACGGTACGTTCCACCGTTAATAATGAGTTGGCCAAACTGTCCGTGCGGTTTTTGCCACAACCTAACTTTAAACAGAAAAATAACATTTTTCTTATAATGTTATTTTGTCTATGGACATTTTAAAAGTAATATTTTAGCGCGCATATTAAGAGCAGGCGGGAAAGTTTTAAATTTATGATTTATGAAAAATGCTGAGAATTGGTGAGTCGTAAAGGTCATGATAATGCCAAACCACACACATCTTTATAAAGTTGTCAATATTAAAAAAATATTGCAGTTATATTGGGATGTGTTACATCATCCACCGTATTCGCCCGACATTGTCTCTTCAGATTTTCACTCATATAAAATTCTAATTGGACACGACATTCACAATGAAGAGACAATTAAACGACACTTAGAGCAGTATTTTATAAGGAATTTTTATGAAACTGGAATTCTAGAATTGAGTCATTTTCAGGTTAGTTTTTACTACCTAATTTCGGTGTCAATTTTTTATTATTTAAGTATTCGAGTATATATCGTGAATTTTTAAACACTATTCCAGAATACTACACTCGAATATAAAATAATATTTCATGATTGTCGCGTAAGGAAACCGAGACACGCGGCTGTAGATGGACTGTAGTTAGGGCGCTAGTAATTCTTTGCCTGTGCTACCCTGGCTAACATGATATAGAAGTACTCACGCGTTCCTCTCTTCACTACAACGGCAGCGGTGCGGGTGTGAGTATTCAACTGGGCAGGAAGATGGTGCAGTCTTGTTCGTTTGTAATACAAACGACGTAACGTGATCAGCCACAAAAATATAAGAGATAAAACGGAATAGAGTAATTATAACATTTCAAGCACAGGGCGGATTTTTTCAGCGACACTGACTGCCAACGTCGACACCGACGACACCACGCAGACAGTACGCGGGGCATTCGACATAATTGTAGATTGAATAACACAGGCAGAATATCGAACAATGATAATGTAATAGTAGCAGTAGAGGTCCTTGTAAAAGAGTTCGTCCAGAGTACCGCCTACCTACCTATTTCTGCTGCCAAGCAGTAATGTCAGCGTTACTGTGTTCCAGTTTTAAAGTAAGGGTGCTGGTGAAATTACAGGTACATGAGACTAAGTCAACTTACGTCTCAGGGTGACGGGCGCAGTGGCAGTGCCCCTCAGATCATTGCAATTTAAAGTTCTGAGTGGCACTGTAACTTTTATGGACAGGCGTGTAACTTACCATCAGGCGCACGGCTTGTTTGTCCCGTTACTTGATATTATAAAAAAAAATCTAGAATATTTGAAATTAAGTAGAGGAAACTAATCTGAAAATTATCGAATTACCCAAAAGATGCCAAACGATTGTAGATCAACATCACCTAATTTATTTTTAATTGTTTTTTATTTCTATTTATGGCACAATAACTGACATCAGACACAAGCAATGTAGAAAAAAAAACACTAAAGATTAATGCAGTAGGCATAGCTGTGCCCAATTAATAAAAATGCAAGTAATTTTATTTGCTCTAACTCTAAGGTTAAATCGTGCAAAATAGCTGCGCTTTTGTCGAATATTTTTTCATGCAGTTAATTTTCCCACTCTCCCTCCGACACTCGGCCGAAGAAATTTTCTTCAGCCGAGCAATCAACAGCCCGTGAGGATGCCGTGGAGAGGCGAAACAACTGTCGGGTATATTTGGTGGTGGTGTTTGTGACTGTAGTTGTGCTTGTGTTATTTATTTCATTAATTTTAAGCGGAGGGAGGGTGGAAAATTAACTACATGAAAAATATTCAACACAAGCGCAGCTATTTTGCACGATTTAACCTTCACAGGGTTCGCGGAATAGCAAATTAATTTACTTCCATTTTTATTAGCACGGACTTCCCCAAAGTAACGCTATCATATACGTTGAATCTATTAATTTCTTGTGCCCAATTAATTATCAGAATAGAAAAAAAACAAAAAGAATACGTTATTCACCTTAACGCAAGAAGAGACCTCCTAAAAACAGGCACACCGCAGTCAAAGACATCACTAATATATTATTGATTGGAGTTTCGCATTTGTAATTTTAAATATTTAATTTATAATATATTTTGATGTAATATATTAATATATTTTGATACCGCATGGACTGTTTGATCAACCGTGTACTGTACACGATGAACAGGACATCAATTCTTTTCTGTACAATCCAAGTTACAAGATTTGTGTTTGAAACTAAAATATACTAACGTTTGTGAATTGTTAACCCGGCAATGCAATGCGGTTATTAACCCCTTAAACTAAAATGCAGGAAAGTGGACACCAGGTATCATCACCCATCAACATTCAAGGTCGCCGTCCACGACCGGACATGGTGCCTGATATCACATCCTCTAACACGCCCCAGGTAAGTTCTACTATGTAAATGTAACAAATGTATCTTCGGAAATAGTACGACAAGAGAGATAAAAATGATTACAACTTTTTTATAAAAATAAATCGACCTCTGAAGATCGTGGAATTACATCTATTTGCCAAGTTTTATTGAAGTCTGTTACCGGACAGTGCGCGAAACCAGATTCACCCCTAGATTGCCACCCTTAACGGTGGAATATTTTCTCCAAATTTAAATAACACCAAATACTCAGATACCCTCTTCAAAAAATGATCATCAAAATTGGTTCACAAATAATCGCATAACATACACAAACAAAAAAAGTTCATTGAGAACCTTCTCCTTTTATGAAGTCAGTTAAAAAAAGTATTTTTTTTTTCCTTACTGAAGATTTTTTTATTTCGACAGCAACAACCGGATGTTCAGCCAGTTTCCTCTTCGTTGCCGCGAATCAAAGAGAGCACTTCGTTAAAGAAACATAATAATACTGAAAACATGGATGAACAGGTACAGTAGCAGCGAAAAATCCCGATTCCCCTCGACTTGCGTAAAGTAATTGGTTAATATAAGGGCGTCTTCAAATTAGACGCTTTGAAAAGCCTTGCAGTGGCGCCGCGGGGTGTGTGGCACGGCAACCTTACATCTAACGCTTCAGTAATTTTTACTGATTGTGACTGCAAAAGTGCCGCGCGAATTACAACCCCAAGGTAAGGGTTTGCGTTTTTAAATAGTTAATATATGTCACAAAATGACACTAAAAGCACATTAAAAAAGTGACCTTTGAAGTAATACTATAGGTTGAATCAACCAATCTGGGGGTGCGTTCCGATTATGTCGTGACAACAGATGGTCGTGCAGTGGGTTGTATATTTAAATGAAGTTGTTCACATATACAACACGATTAACTGTCGTTCACGATTTTTTTCACGTTACGACGACAGATCGTCGTGACAATGGAAAGAGCTAGATCGACAATGTGAAATGTGACGACAGATAATCGCAGCTTCAAACTATTCTGTCGTGCAAACGACAAGGCGGCTGCCGTGAACCGATAAATTGTCGTCGCGATCTAATGGGAACAGCTAGACACGACAGTCGTTCAACGATAAAATAAACTGGCAGTGGGGCGGCTGCAGCGCCACAATGGCGCCACTGCGACACAATTTGAAGGCTAAGTCACCACTCTACAGTATAGTTGTGGCTTGGATTACTAAAAAATAATCAGAAACATTCTTGGACTGGATTATTAAAAAAAAATCAGTACAGAGTACTAAAAAACTGTCCTCAAAAGTTCGTGGAATTACATCTTGCGTGGCGATGGGCTGCTGTACGTTGTGAATGCTTGAGATCCTTTGAAATGATGGATGCTAGGGAATCGAGTGTATTATTATAAGATATTTGTCATTTAATTTAATTTAATTTTATTTTTATTTCCTTTTTTTTATTTTTATATCTTATTGTTATTATTTTTATAATTATCTTAGTTTTAACGGTGCAAACTATTTGTTTCAAATATTATAAGATAAACTAATAATATATAATATATCAAATACTATAAGGTAAACTATATTACGTTTATTAGCGGATATTAGTGTCCATGATCAACAATAGTTTTGCTTAACTTACGGATCCAATTTAATAATAATAAATATTAGATAACATCACATACTTTGCTCTGATCCCAAAGTAAGTAGCTAAAGCACTTGTGTTATAGAAATTGGAAACAACGACGGTACCACAAACACCCAGACCCGAGACTATACAGAAAAGTTAGTTTTCGACACTGCTCTGCCGGGGATCGAACCCGGGTCCTCAAGCCACACAATCACAGACGCCGGCTTTTATTTCACCATACCATACCAAATCGTAAATGTCGTAATCTATCTTCTAAGAACCTAAAGTTTCATGTTATATTTTTCAGGCGTTAATCCAAATAGCGACTGAAGCGTTCGTCAAGGAGCTAGGGTTAGAAAATGATACATTGCTACAGGGCAATGTGCAAGTACGAGATCTGCCTGCTGGCACTTATATCATGAAAGAGGAGAGCCACAAGGTAATTAACTTAAGTCATTTAATATACACGGTCAGTGATAGAAGGTCAGTTATGACTGGTCAGATATACCTAACGTGACCATTATTTTTTCCCTCAGTGCGGGACGCCTGTAAATTTATTCCTATTTTAAAAATAAAAGACATGTTTATGATAATTACGGAATGCGATAAAAAAAAATAAAAGAACTAATCTTGTGTAGTCTGGTGCTCGACGTCTGGTTGGCTGGTTTTATATTATTTTTCGCCTTCGCGCTATTTTTTAAAATTTATTGTGACGTGTGTTCTGTTTTGTGAAATCGACACTCTTTTTTTAGTATTTTTTGGATAGTGGGACACAAAGCTTAAAAACGGGACATATGGCTACACATGTTAGTCCCGACACGCGCTATAAAATTGGAATAAGCGCGCGCTATTGGCTGTCTCAATAAGATCTAATTTAGATTCAATTATATCGCGCGCGTCGCGACTATCATGCGTAGCCATGCTACGGGGGCTGGTCACGTTAGATATGCCGTACTTATTTAATGATATAGCATTCTTTCTATTGAAATAACTGAATTTATACTATTTTTACAACTTAAAATAATTTGCTTTTGTGATTTATTTCCGCAAGATGTGCACTAAATCGCCTGGTGAGCATTACATTAAACAGGTATTTAGGACAATATTAGTTTGATGGTTTTGAATCCGAGACTACACATAACTAGATAACTCGAACCGATTTCGGACGTCGCTTGTGCACTAAGTCCGATTCCAATCCGAGAAAATACTAATGTCGCTTGTACACCTAGAGATAGAATGATCTCTGGCACGTTTCGGACCGTCATTTCTCGCATTCGGAACTGATACGAATCAGACGTAGTGCGTATACGCTCTAACACATTTAATATCATGGTTTTATCATAATGCCTTGATACGAGTGTTACGGATTTGACTTGACCTCGTTTAGACTAGTGGTTGAGTGACTAGAACCAATTTCAAAAATGATTTTTTTGAAATTAGTTCTAGTGTGGAAGTGGATTTCATTATTAGTGCTCATTGTACAGGCTGTTTCATAGTTTGAGTCCAAATAAACGGTGTGATTGGTACATTATTATGTTACTTTACATATCGAGTTTTTAGGTTTCGGGAAATTACGCATTGGAAATGAAACTACTTTTCCAATCTCAATCGCGTATATTTGTTTTTGCAACAAACAAATGAACGTTCCCGGTTCTTTCCGACATCACTGGGGTATATTGACTAAACTAATGTATAACTCATGTATTTTAAACAAAGATCAAACGCTAAGACAAAATCCTTCGATCCGGCTGGATTCGAACCAGCACCTTCAGCATACCGTGCCTGATGATTTCCCAACTGAGTTACGAAATGAACCAGCAAAACTTACGGATATTTCTTTGCAGAATTTTTTGTTTTTAACAACTTTTTTGCCGTATTGCCATCTGTAGGACCATGTGCCTCTATGGTCGAACATTTACCATGCTGGTCTGCCAAGAAGAGGTCTTGGGTTCGATTCCCGGGCCGGGAGGAAGATTTCTATGGCCTACATTGTGTGCAATTTGTGACTGTCTATGTGTATGTCAATGGCACCCGCGAGACACGGTTTCCCCGGGCTATGAGTGTGCGCGTTATTTATTTATTTATTATTTATCTATGTATCATGTATTTTAGTCTAAGTTTTTAAGGACTATGGAATAGTTCCATACATATCGAATGAAAAATTCGATTTAAATAAGTGATTTATCCGTTGGTTTTGTTGATAAGCCTTAATCTAATAACTCATTGAGATGTTACACTTTTTATGTAAAATAATGATTATGTAATCTAATGACTTGTACAGAAGAACTATGATAACTGCTACAACTGTTCAAAGTCGCATTTCTGTTGACACACATTGCCTGGTACTTCACATGTAGTCTTATCCCAATTAATTTAAGGAGCATTTTTAATTATTTTGTATGTATTTTAGATTCAGTTAAAAGTGCACCATACATTCATTGAGATAAGGTTATTTTTTATCAGTGTTCGGATTTTCTAATACCAATATGTATCAACATCCTTGTACATCTTTTGGTAACTAACTACATCAATCCTTAAAATGTTTATTGTAAGTATGTATCGATATCGATTTATTATGTTCTTTATAACGTATCATATAAAGTTGGTATTTCATTGACAGGACGTAGCTTTGGTGCACCTTCTCTCTGGTGCATTATTGGTGTCTCAAAGAGTGGCTGAAGGTGACGGAGAAGTTCACATGTTTACCGCTTATCCAGGTAAAACATTTGTTATTTCCTTGTGATATGGTTAGATAAATTTTTCACGCGTTATCGGTTTCTGCCGCCTTATATTTTTTTATATAGTTGCACTCAGAGCTTTAAATCGCAAAGATCTAAGGGGCACTGTCACTGCGCTCGTCACCCTGATACATAAGTTGACAAGTCCCTGGTGCCTATTATTTTACCAGCACCCTTACTTACCCTTCAAAACCGGTACACAGTAATGCTAACGTTACTGCTTGGCGGCAGAAATAAGTAAGGTGGCAGTACTTCCCTGGACGAACACAAGGAGCTCTACTATTAACTGTTACGTAAATTGTCAGTCCTCCCGCACCTCAGGCACCGACTCAGTTAACTTTTTCTTTCGGTGACCATTTCGATTCGTTAAATTAATACTTTATTTTGAAAATGAAACTATTTTTCCGGATTTAAATCGCGTATATTTGTTTTTTCATACAAATAGACGTTTCGGGCCGTTTACAGGTACCATAGTCACGGTTGACCATGTTGATGTCAATTTTTTTATCTAATCCAATATAATTTATTTCCATTCAATGGTTTTCCAGGGGAGGTGGAAGGAGGTCTAGCAGTTTTAACAGGCGAGCCTAGTTTCTTCTCGATCCGAGCCAAACACTTCTCCCGCATCGGTCTTCTGTCTAAGACTACAGTCTACAGCATCATGAGGGAACGACCTTCGGTTGTGCTGCACATTGCTAACACTGTTGTGAGGAGGCTGTCGCCTTTTGTCAGACAAGTGGATTTTGCCTTGGATTGGGTAACTTTTCCTGTAACTTTTACGTAATTGTTTCATATTGGCCAATTTTCATTTCATTCATTCATCTCGGCCCGTTAACTCCCACTACTGGGCCTCCTCTTTTGTACGCCAGCTTATTTTATTTATTTTTGAAGATGGAGTAAAATGACAGTTCAATGCGCAAGTGATGCCCGCTTGCGAGCAGCTAGTGATTGCAGTCGATAAATATTCTATCGATTGAATATTGGTCACGCTTATGGAATAAATAGCCGAACTTGTTTCATTTGAATCATCCTCGACCATTATTCATCCAATTACTGAGCACAAGTTCAGTTGAATTGTCAATTTTTGTAACTTCTTACATACATGCAGTGTGTTTAACACTGTCTTTATGAAAAATACAAAGAGGAGACTATAAAATAAATAAAGAGGATATTTTAAAGTTTTCATTTTAATTCAACATAGATAATCAAATTCGGCTGTCCTTGTTAAAATGTATATGAATAGAAATTGATCTCGATACTAGTAGGCCAACTGTCCCAATAAGAATAAAAAAGGCAATAACGCAATTAGTAATAATTAGAACGTCGTAACATTCGCAATTCAGTCATGGTTTGAAAAAATTTCACAATCTCGATAAAATTATCGACAACAACTACATAACTATTTAAAATTTTATGAAAACTGTCAACCCTTCAAATGTCATTTTACTTCGTCTTCAAAAAAGACAGACTAGCAGGTGGTCTGCCTTGACGTCTCGCTCCAACCGGCACCACGCGCTATATTTGCTTCATGTCAACCCAAGATTTCATCGAAGGTATTTTCTGATCGAAGTGTATTTACTTCTGCCAGGTGTTCCTAGAATCCGGCCGCGCAGTGTACCGCCAAGACGAAGAATCAGGGTCCACTTTCATCGTGCTGAGTGGGCGACTGAGGTCCGTTATCACACATCCCAATGGCAAGAAGGAGTTGGTCGGAGAGTACGGCAAGGGCGACTTGGTCGGCATTGTAAGTTTAACTTTACTTAATGGCTAATAAGCAGTCATCGGAATAGGTAGAGTTTTTTTACCTAAACTTTGAGGAACAGGGAAAGTGGAGACTTAAGTTATGAAGACAGTTTCTAATTGTGACACGAAAGTAGAGTCCGAAAGTTAAAACTTATACTTAGACTACACAAAGAGTGGATGCAATAGTTTTAGATCCCGGAGGAATGGCCATAAATCAACAGTATGTTTGAAATACGTATCTTAATAACATTGACCTACCAACAAATGGACATCGCTTCTAATACAAAAACCACGAAAAAAATGCCCGAAGTTAACCTATACAAACGTTGTGACATGTAACGTAGTATAAAAAAAAACTAAAACATTTAATTTTAATTTAACGTCATTGCACGACTGCCTAATCTTGCTTGCAACCATTTAAGGGCCCAAAACACCGTATTCCGCTTCTACAGGAAACTTAACAAAATTCACCATATTTAGCTCCGACTGAAAATTACTTCAACAAGAATAATAGGAGCAGCATTTATTGCATTAATGTAATAAATTATGTGAATTAATTTTTATATATATTATTATGTAGAATTTTGTACAATTCACTTATAGAAATAATAAAGAGTTGGGCATTCTTGAACGAAATGTTGATAGAATGTTCCTTTAACAATGAAACACTACGCATTGTATACCTAAATAGTTTTTGCGTTTTATTCCACTACATTTGAAAAAATAAAAACAAACAAACCCAGGTATATTGATTGTATTATTAAGGAAAGTTTAATCACCATATCTAATCTTAAACAAGTAGCAGTGGAGGTCTTGTGAAAGAGTTCGTCTAGGGAATTACTGCCACCTTACCTGTTTCTGCCGCAAAGCAGTAGTGTGAGCATTACTGCGTTCCGATTTTGAAAGGTAAGGGTACTTACTGGTGAAATTACGTCTCACCTTATATTGAGGATGATGGGCGCAGAGGCAGTGCCCCTCAGATCTTTGAGATTTAAAGCTCTGAGTGGCACTGCAACTGATATGGATCGACGTGTCGCTTACCTTCAGGCGCACAACTAGTTCGTCCGGTCACTTAGTTGTTATATAAAAAAAACTAAATTAAAAAATAAACATTGCTCCCGTCACTTGGTATCATGAAAAAAAAAAACATTGCCCTTGTTACATCAAAGTTGGTCCCAAGTTTTATAGAAATTTGCCCATCATTCCACCATTCTGCCCTGGCCCTAACCATTACAAAAAAACATCGTGACGATACCTGCACGTCGTAGATTCACAAGCCTGAGAAGATATATGTTTGATTAATTTACAATATTGTAGGTTGAGATGGTGACCCAAACACGTCGCAGCACGACGGTGATGGCTGTACGAGACTCGGAGCTAGCCAAGTTGCCTGAAGGTCTCTTCAACGCCATCAAACTGCGCTTCCCCGTCGTCGTGACACGGCTTATCAACTTGCTGGGACACAGAATTCTAGGTAAGAAGTTTTCTGGTAGGCCAGATTTCGCTTAATGGTCTATACAACCTCAAATAGCTTTGGTTGAATCCGCATAACAGTGAAAGTGTTGAATTAATTGCTTTGGAAAAAAATGTAAAATTGGGGATATACACTGATTAGTATACCGTGTGAAAACACGATTCCTAAACATGTTCACGATAGATAAAAAACGCAAATATTGCCACGAAATTTTACAAGTAAACCGCTGGTATTAAATTACATACTAAATATTATGTAATGTTTCAATTTTCGTTCATTATAGCAAAGCTCAAGTTAAACAATTGACGACACCCGTCAATTGTTTCGAATTCGGGCTGGCCAATCGGAGCGCAGTTGACACCGTAATGATTTGGCAGAATAGTTTTCAAACAAATTAAATGACATTTCGTCTCTATTTCTGGTTATATAATCGATGATCCCTTGACATTACATTTTGTGACAACATTGATAGTATGAAATAAATGATTCTGTCATATTTTTGTTACGTAGGCTCTTGGCAAAAGCCAGCAGCGGCGCTTGGCGCGGCGCCCATCGAACAGAGACCTGCACAGCACAACTTCTCCACAGTCGCCGTAGTGCCTGTCAGTGACGATGTACCACTAACTGCGTTTACTTACGAGCTTTATCACTCCTTATGTGCCATCGGTAAGTGACGTTAAGTCTGCTTTACAGTTACTAGTAAGTAGTAAGTAGAATTTGTATAAAAATATTATTTTTAGAATTTAAAGTAAATTGCAAACATTTAACACCCCCACAGACGATACCTCGTTTCGTTAGATCGTCAACATAATTGTATCAATCCATTACTACCCTTTTGGCGTTTAAGTTAATCGTTAACGATGTATACTCTCGTTTCATCATTTCTATAATTATGAAACGGCAAACCGTGTAGACAAATCGTCGCGTAGCAGCAGTAGAGCTCCTTGTGAATGAGTTCGGCAAGGAAAGTACTGCCGCCAAGAAAATTTGTCCAGGAAAGTGTGCTGCAGTAGAACTATTTAGGGTAGTATTGAGAGTTTGAACGCTAAATCCGAATATCGTCTTCCGAATTTGAAATACCTTCAATTCAACTCATTATGTTCGCGGACCGAAATAACTATAGTGTTATTTGTATTAACGCCTATGCACTGCGTCTGTTCTGAATTCGAATCGGCGGCGGTGGCGCCGTGGAGGATGTAAAATGATACAGTACTAATTCGATATTAATTACAAAATAATTAATAGATTCAGGCGTTACTTTGCGGAAGGCCATGTTAATTATTATTAATTATATTATTAATAATAATTATAACAAACTAGTGGAGTCATTTCACATAAAAATAATTAAATATCAATTCAATAAAAAATTTAAATACTGTGAATAGCGACATCTCTAGCCGGGACTGGTAGCTGTAAAGGTATCTAACTGGGTGACGAAATATCATAGATTTCTCATAGATGACGTTACGACTAAAAAGTAGTTGAAAAATCAAATACAAAGATACGACGCAAGCACATAGAAAAATTCGTGAGGTCCGCTGGTTCGTTCCGTGGCTTGGTCGGTATAACGTCTGGCACGGTGTGCTAGAAGACGTCGGTCCAGTCCGGCCGGATCGAAGGAACTTTTTCTGAGTGTTCGATCTTTGTATTAATATTTATAACAAACTAGTGGAGTAATTTCACATAAAATATTTGAATATCAATTCAATAAAAATTTTAATAAAATGGAAGTTAATTAATTTGCTACTCCCCGCACCCAGTGAAGGTTAAATCGTGCAAAATAGCTGCGCTTGTGTTGAATATTTTTTCATGCAGTTAATTTTTCACCCTCCCTCCGCATAAAACTAATAGAATAAATAACACAAGCGCAACTACAGTCACAAACACCACCACCAAATATACCCGACACGTGTTTCGCCTCTCCACGAGGCATCCTCGGGGGCTGTTGAATGCTCAACGCTCGGTCGAAGAAATTCTTTGGTTCTCTTTCTGTCATTTTTATTAACAATTACAAAAATTTTTGTTATCTTGCCTTAGTTAGCAGTGGCAGTGCCCCTCAGATCTTTGCGATTTAAAGCTCTGAGGCAACTGTTCTGAGGCAACGTGTGTCGTGTTCCACCAGACGCGCGAGTTGTTCGTCCCGTCGTTTGGTTTCATAAAAAAAGTATATATAGCCTTCAAAGTTAAAATTTTATGAACAGGTCCCACTGTTCGTCTGACATCGGACGTGATTAGAAAGCTGCTCGGTCTGACCATCATGGACCCCAATAACGAATACCGACTCAGCTCATGGCTTGCGCAACAGGAAGATAAACACAAGGTAAGAATAACATATAATATTATGCACACAAAAACATTTACTGTTGGTAAGGAGTTCTGCTGTAAACCAGCACTGCTGCATCCCTTGTTGAAAGATGGGCATAGAGTCGGGGTCCCACAGCCAGTGATGCAGTGAGATGCGATCTTAAGCATCATTATACCTCCTTAATATAGAAAATCTTTGTAAGCAACGGCTACTTATTTTTTATAAGGCAGACCGTCTGTCTGTAAAAAACAATAATCCACTTCACAAACACTCTGTTAAATAAGAAGGAAAACTTTTCTTATGTCGCTCCTCTATCGGAACACTCGAAAGCTCCTACCGATACTGCCTCTCGCGTTGCGATTTACTGTTATCGATTATACTTAAACCAATATTGTACAGATTGGTGCTTTTTGGAATTTATTTTAGAAAGACTACTTGAATTAAACGATGTATTAATAAATAGTTACTTAGTGCCATCATAGCTAATCAAAAGTAAACTTATAAAATCGATTACAATGTTAACTTTTTAATTGCTTGAAAGGACTAGAAACGTTATTTTGCAAAACTTTGTTTTACTGCTCATATTATTAATTGTCTGGATTACAATTAAACAATATATTATTAATTGCCTACTTGGCCGAACGGTTACCATACTGGACTGCCACGCAGAGGTCCCGAGTACGATTCCCGGACCGGGAGAAGTTATGTATGGCCTACATTTATTTCTCTCGTGTAACTCTCGGTGTAACTAGTGGTTGTTTATGTGTATGTCCATGGCACCCGCGATACAGGGTTTCCCTAATACGGGGCTATGAGTGTGTGCGTTATTATTATATTTATTTAATTATAAGATTCTGGAAAAAAACCGTATCTGCATTTGTACTTTATGGATATGAATAGCTAGAAGTTGTTAAAAAACTAATTCCCATTACTCGACTACTTGATAAAAACGGATAATATATATGTATTAGTGCTAGTGCGGAGCTAGTCTGCGCGTCAAAAAAATAAAAAATTTTTTTTTAACAAATTACTTATATTTATAAATAATTACTGCTAACACAAGGTTATTTTAAGTCACTCGTATTTTTTTCTTTATTACTCAAAGGAACCTAAACATTTATTTTGCTGGGCTTACTTTTACTGTACACGTTTGAAATGGTACACTTCAATATTAGATTTACACTTAAAATTGCCCAACATTTTATGACTGTAGTTTTCCCGACTAAACAAACCCCATGTGTTGCAGGTGGCATTATACCAGTGTGATCCGAGCTTAACGCAATGGACGCAAAGGTGCATCAGGCAAGCTGACTGCATTCTCATCGTCGCGTTAGGAGACAAACCTCCTAGCATCGGGAAGGTAAAATACAATAATAATAATAAAGTTTTTTGATTTATTGTTTCAGCAACAGTTTAATATACTTAATACTTACTTACATTATTATAATAATGCAAGACTGGTATGTAAGCCGAACACGTCATTGTCATAATCACTTAAAACAACATAATTAAAATAAGAAACTATTTATACATTATTCTATTAAAAATACACATTTAGTTCCTATTGATTATATCAGAGTAAATTTTAAATAACAAAATATACATAAAAACAGAATTGAAAAGTCCAAAAACAAAAATTCAATTGTCTCGTTAGTTTATTGAATATAGGCAATTTTATTGAATATCACGATGTTCTGAGTGGAGAAAAGCTTTCATAGATTTCTCACAGATGGCGCTACTGCAAAATAGTCGTGAAATACCAAAAACCCGGCTAAGACCTGCAACAAGCACATAGAAAAATTCGGAAGATGTGCTGGTTGGTTCAGTAGCTATTTTAGGAGAGCGTTAGCCGCGATATGCCAAAGGACATGGTTCGAATCCAGCCGTATCGAAGGAAATTTTGTGTTCGATTTTTTTTGTTTTTCATGAGCATAGCAGGTGGAGGTCCATAGTCTCTGCCTACCCCGGTGGGAGATAGGTGTGACGATATGTAAGCAAAATAACGTGTACTCATTGCAGATTGAAAAAGAAATCGAGCGTCTGGCTATACGTACGCAAAAGGAGCTAGTGCTGTTGCACCGCGAAGGGGGCCCGAATCCCTCTGGCACTGTTCATTGGTTGAACATGCGTACGTGGGTCAGTCAACATCACCACGTGCGATGTCCGCATCGGATGTTTACACGGAAGAGTCAGTACCGCATTGTGAGTACATATCTGTTGCATAGGGTATACTCACTTCTGTTAGTTTTACTGTTCAAGTTATTTTAGCGTTGACTGTACTTCTGCAAGTAAGCAGAAATTACAAATTTTATCGCATTGCATTGTTTTACTACAGGCGAAAGTAGGCTGTTGCATATATATTACTAACATCATAAAAAACAACTTTTGCTCCGTTCGGATGCGTTCCGGTTTTCAAGAGTAAGAGCTGGTGAAGGCACATGGAATTTGTCAACTTTCTGTCTCAGAATGACGAGTAGAGAGGCAGTGGTCTGAGTGGCATTGTAACTGTTATGGGTAGGCCTGTCGCTTAACATCAATGCAAGCTTTATTTATTATTCGTGCCGTCAAAAATAAATAAAACAACAGACGATGTTAATTAAGACCAATTTATTATGTCAATTTAAAGAAATAAAGTTTTTTTATTTGTTGTTAATTTACTTTTATTGCGTACTAATTGATGTTGTCCATAGTTTTAGAGCAAATATGTTGAAATAATATTTGTATTTGGGATTTTATGGTATTATTATTTTATGATTAATTTTTATTGAATTTTGTCTATTTATATAATTTATTATTTTATGCATGCTATGGGTCGCTGTTACCAGAAATTTTATTTATTTATTGTTTAAATGTTTATTACAGAATCATCGTAAATATTATGACACCTACAAGTTTTTTCTTGTCAATTTTTCAGAGCGAACTATACAGCAAAGTGTTAATGTCGGAAGCCAGTGTCCATTCCGATTTCTCCCGCCTGGCGCGATGGTTGACTGGTACGTCGGTGGGGCTTGTATTGGGCGGAGGGGGGGCGAGAGGCGCTGCCCACGTTGGCATGATTAAAGCTATTCAGGTTTGTGTGCTTTGATTAAGAAAATATATTTATTTTTATTTATTTAGAATGGACATCCAACACAATACATAATATCCAGAGTATAGCTAAAAAGGTACAAATAAAATATAAAAGCATTATGCATATCGCACTTACAGGCTACCACAGCATGCTAGTAGTAATAAGCGGGTTTTGTGATAACATGTATTCGTATGAGGTTTACACTTTCCAAGTTATATAGCAATGGGTTACACATTAACATGATTATTTAAATTGGATTATGTTTGCTTCGTTGTTTTGTTTTTGTTTTTTTTTGTTTTGCTTTTGCTGTCTTTTCTTTATTTATTTCTGTATATTTTTGGGTTGCAACGTTGAAAGAAATATATTCTATTGTATCCTATACTGTTCTTATTGAACTTTCAGGAGGCCGGGATCCCTATAGACATGGTTGGAGGCGTCAGCATTGGGGCCTTTATGGGCGCTTTATGGTGTATGGAAAGGAACATCACCACTGTTACTCAGAAAGCGAGAGAATGGTCACAAGTGAGCAATTTTGATCTTTGATACAACTTTTCTGGCAGCTACTTCCGCTAAATGATAAGTTTAGTCATCGAAAGGGGAAAAATTTACCAGTCTCCTGGGCCTCAAGGTTTTGAGGATTTTCTATACTGACTGCCATTTGCTATGTCAATAGCGTTTATTCACCTCTTCACACGACATCTATGATCGCGGGTGCCATGGATACACACATAGGCAACCACAAATCACACCCTAATTCATGAGACAAATAATTGTAGGCCATACAAATATTTCTTCCGGCCCGGGAATCGAACCCGGTCCAGCATGGTGACCGTTCGGCAATGGAGGCAGTTAAACTACTATAGGATAATAATAGTATTATCCTGTTTGTAGTATTATCAGTATTATCATCTTTATGTGACTGTTATGTAATGAAAAGGATTACAACAGGAGTGTGAGGAACATCACACGAGTGTTTTAATGCCTAATTATGTACAGGTACATACACTGCTTTACCTATACACATGTTATAAGCTCTCTATGATGTGTTCAGGAACCGCATGTTATGACTGGCCAAATGTAGGCAAATTAAAACTTCTCGCGCATTTCACGCAACCGTAGTTTTTATTTAATTCATACATATCCATATCAAGTAGCGTGAGAAATTTGTCAGAATTGTCTGCTATTGACATTTCATTTCGAATAAAACAATCTCGACTGATATTAGAATTGAGGTCGAATGAAATTGATTTGTTTTTCTTAAGTTCGAAATTTGAATGTCATAATAAAGTCGAATTCGATGTTATTATGAAGCAATAATAACATTTTCACAGATAAGAAATTTGGTCTAACAAAACAGTTTACCTTTATGCTGGTCGTAATTTACGGTTTTTGAACACATCATAGTGTATGATATGTGTGTAGATAAAATTGTTTTTGAAGACATCAAAGCCGCACGTGAAGTGTAATTATGCATGAATGGCAAGTTTCCATAAATTTTCCACAGAAAATGACCCAATGGGGTAGCCAACTTCTCGACCTGACGTACCCAGCAACATCAATGTTTTCCGGTCGGCAATTTAACCAAACGATAAAGACGACATTTGGGGAGGTCCACATTGAGGACCTTTGGCTTCCATACTTCACTGTCACCACTGACATCAGCGCTAGTTGCATGAGAGTGCATAGACACGGTAAGTACTTGTATTTATTAACACGGTTTTAAGGTAAACACACAGTTCCTTATACCAAGTCTGATGGCATTATCAGCATTTTTCTGTCTTCTTTAACTTGCTGATGAATTACTGCAGAACGTATAATTGACGTTTAATATGCGGAGTAAGAGTCGCCTATAAATCCCAAGTGTATCGATGCAATCGCGCGTTTGCTTTTCAGCAGCGATGCAAACACGATGCAGTAGCGATGCAATCGCTAATCGTCTACCTTTACAATGCGTGAGCCTTTAGAATATTTAGGTATTTTGAGTTATTTCTTGTTATCATTAGTGAATTTTTTGTCACCATTGGTCGCCCCTAAAATCTGGCCGACCTTTACAATGCGTGAGCCTTTAGAATATTTAGGTATTTTGAGTTATTTCTTGTTATCATTAGTGAATTTTTTGTCACCATTGGTCGCCCCTAAAGTCTGGCCGCCCTAGGCCCGGGCCTACGGGGCCTTAGGGTAAATCCGCTATTGAGTGTAGCGATGCAATTGCGCGTTTGCATCGATGCAATCGCATATAAATAGCAAGTGTAGCGATGCAATGCAAAATGCTGCTAAAAGTCGTCGTGTGTAACCACTCTTAGGGTCGTATTCCAGAACTCTACTCAATGGTCAAGTCAGGATTTGAGCAGACTTGAGTATGATTTCAAGCACTGAAATACGACCCTAATGGCAAGGACTTGAGTATGATTTTCAGTGCTCACTGCAATACTCATGTCCTGACTTGAGTATTGAGTAGAGTTCTGGAATACGACCGTTAGATACAAAAATATTTAAATGCTGATGATGTCACTCGACCTGGACTACTTTGCCGACTAATGAAATAAAAAAATTGTTCGTGTTTAACTTTCGGCAACAGACGCGTATCATGCTTTAGAGGTATGCTATATTTATCAGCACGCTTTTGTAGTTAAAACACTAGTGAGTTCACTTGAAACGTTTCTTTGTGTGCAATCATATATTTTGGCATCTGCTCTACACTTAGTAAAAATCTAACCTAAACTCGTCTATTCTTCTTTGACGGAGAGTATGCTAAATTTTAGCGTGGTGCTGAAATGTGCTGATAACTGTAGCATAAGCTAAATGGTTAAGCGTTTCATAAAATGATAATATAAGCAGTGATTTGTGAACTACGTTATTATGCATTGCACCCGGGTTGGTCTATATTAAACGTGTGCTTTGGCAGGTGCCTCACGTGTTTAGTGTAGACGTAGTGTTGAAACGTACTGTTTACAAGTGGGATCCAACCCTACTACCATGAGCATCTTCTACATCGAGCTATATTATATTTCAAGCTGTATTTGTACTTTGAACGTGTCCGCAACAAAATGTAAAGTTATGAATCACTGCTTATGATTTTAAAATGGTTTTTTTAATAAAATCACAATATATGATAAAAAATAATTCATAATATTTGACAAATACCACAATATTCAGTTATGGCTTAAATAAATGTGTGTATTAAAAAAAATATACAAAATGAATAACGGATTGACAAATTATTGCAAACAATGACAGTACAGAATTAATTGTATTAACAATGAAATTACTTGTTTCATATTTGAATTGGATTTTAACATACTAATAAGTATTGCTATCGAGTTTCTTATGTTTTCGCGATTCCTATACATTGGAAATTAAACTATTTTTTCGAATCTAATCGTGTATATTTCTTTTTTTTTTTTAACAATCCACCTTTCGGACTCTTTACACGTGGCCGACTGAGATGGTAGTCATCAATTAGTTACGTCTAATATTATTGCAAACTACCCTACTCTGAAATCGCACTTGAAACCAATACAAAGTTTTGGAATTGTTAAAACACGATATGAAAATTAAAAGAGAAATGAATGGATCTAATTATTAAATAAAAAGTCCTGGTGACCTGTAATACAGATCATACGTCTAGTTTAGGCACCAGTCTTCCACAGTATAATATATTGTTTTATGTATTTTATTTTGGATATTATGCCAATGTATTTTGTATATTCTGGTGAGAAATAAACTTATTATTATTATTAATTGCGAATAATGTGATTAATTTTATTTATACATAAAATTTTGTTATCGATTTATAAACGAAAAAATGCATTTCGTCGCCGTAGAGCGAGAAGTCACTAAGGGACATACCACACGTGCATTGCGTCGGCGTTGCGACGTCGCAACTGCGTTGTACTATTATATAAATCAACACGACATGCCCCACGGTGCGTTGAAACAGCGCGCGTCGACACAGCTCGTGTGGCACTTAGTCCGTTGAAATCAACGCAGTTGCGTTGACGCAACGCTGACGCAATAACCGTGCGGTACAGTCCGCGAGGCCTAAGCTGAGCTTTGCATTTGTGTGAGTGCACATAGATAGTGTAGGTGTGACGTCGGCCTAGAGGGCGACGCGTCCTTCGCTAGGTTTAAATCGGTTTAAACTGCTTTTTGTCAACTGGCCTGAGGCGCGGTGCATCCCTCGCGCGACGCAACTCCGCCGCGCACCTTTCACACTTCACCTCTTGTACTGGTAGCAGCGTGACGTGTTTAATTCTTAATATTTTGTTTTTGTGTTCGATTTATTAGTGAAATGGCTGTCAACACAAATAAACGAATTATACGAAAACCTTTAAATAGCCAAGTAAAGGAAATTTTGTGTAATTTAAATAGTTATTTTAAAGACATGAACGACAAAGACATGTCAAACCCAGGTATGCGCGTTCAGTTCCAAAAAATCCCCATTCCTTCCACTTCCCCATCTTCAGGGTACAAGCTGCAGGACAAGCTCAGCCTGCTGGGGATGAGCATCCGGAAGGACATGAGCAACAAAGAGTATATAGAGAGCGTCATCTGTACCGCGTCGCGCAAGCTTGGCATCCTGAACAAGGTGCACCGATTTTTTACTCCAGAGCTGCGATACCTGTTGTATAAAGCTCAGGTCCGAAGCAGCATGGAGTACTGTTCGCACCTTTGGGACGGCTCTGCCAAGTACTTGCTCGATGCCCTAGATGGACTGCAGCGCTAAAAAATGTCAAATGTCACTACATCAGCCCAATTGGTAGCGACATCGACGGGAATTCCGCTGTCCACTGTCAAAAGAGTTTTATTGGAAGGTAAACGTCTTTTGGAAGACGGAAGCAAATTTAAGTCTCCGAAAAAGACCAGATGCAGGAAAAATATCATTATCATTGACGATTTTGATAAAGCGGTAATCCGAAGAACTATTCACAACTTTCACATTACTGATAAAGAGGTGCCAACTATGAAACGAATATATGAAAAGTTGAAGAGAGAAATAAACTATCCAGGTTCAATTTGGTCATTGCGTAAAGAAGTGTCTCTTTTAGGATTTAAATGGAAAAGAACAGAAGATAATAGAAAAATTCTAATGGAAAAACATGAGATACGTTATCTACGTATACATTTTTTGATTAAAATTTCCGAATATCGCATGGCCGGCCAGTCGTTTATACCGACGAAACATACATAGACACGACTCACACTTCTTCAAAATCTTATTTAGATGGCAGCACTTCTGGTTTGAAGAAACCAATTTCTAAAGGAAATCGTCTAATAATAGTTCATGCCGGCGGAGAGGACGGTTTCATACCAAATGCACTGCTGATGTTCAAAGCAAATAAAAAAAGTGGTGATTACCATAATAATATGAATGCAGCAAACTACACGAAATGGTTACAAACGCAATTAATTCCAAATTTAAAGCCCAATAGCGTTGTGGTGGTAGACAATGCATCTTACCACAATTCGTTAGAAAATCCCGCTCCCAACTCAAATAGTCGTAAACAAGATATGATTGACTGGCTCAAGTATCGCAATATCGATCACTCTACATCGATGCTTAAACCACAACTCTATTAATTGATACTGCAAAACAAACAAAGATTTATTGAATATAAAATTGACACTTTACTTAGAGAACATGGTCACAGCGTCATTCGTCTACCACCCTACCACCCGGATTTCAACCCAATTGAAAATATATGGGCAATGATAAAAGGGTACGTGGCTAAAAAAAACGTGTCAATGAATATGGATACAATTATGAGGTTAGCGAAAGAAAAAGTTGACACTATCACTGTAGAAGAATGGAAAAATGTATGTGACCACGCAATAAAAGAAGAAAAAAAGTTTCATGGTCACGATGCCATTCTTGACGATATAACGGAACGATTCATTATTAACACAAACGATACATCAGAGGAGAGTGAAAATGAAGACGAGAGTGATAAAGAAAATGATGAAAATGCAATGCAATGTAAATGCAATGTCCGGTGCAGAAGAATTGTTATAATTTTTTTATATTTGAATTTTATTTATTGATCTCTGACTTCTCGGTCACACTTACATATGTACACATGGTCATCGGTCATACATATCATAGCTGGCCTTTATTTTAACAATTTAAGCTATTTAGTTTTAATTTATTTTTAAACTAGAATATCTCTCCCACTTATGTTAAAAACCTACCTAATACTAAAATTTATTTTTAAAAGTTTTTTGTCTGACTCTACTTTTGGTGATCACTCACACAAATGCAAAGCTCAGCTTAGACCTCGCGAACTGTATCTCCCTAAGTCGCAATAGACCAATACAAATTGGCCTTCAAACATCCAACCCAGCCGTCAGAGGGCAATATAAATTCGCCATTTGCGACTTAGTGACTTTTCGCTCTACGGCGTTATTGGTTTTCAGCCTGTTATTTTTTTTTTCTACTTTTAAATCGTGTTTTCTCAATTCGACACTTTTGAGTTACGACAGTATTTGGTTTCGTGTACGAAATGTAGTTTACCGAAGAAATTCCTTGCTTTTGTTGACATAGCGTCTGACACGGTTTGTTAGGAGACGTTGGTTCATATCCAGCCATATCGTAGTATTTTTTTTTCTAATCTCGATCCTTGTTGTGAATTATAAAAAACTAGTGTAGTAATTTCACAAAAAATAATTTACTATCATGGTGGGAAACACCCTGACTTTCAATTAAAAAAAAATAGTTAAATTAAAGTTATCAAATAAAACGAAATTAGGGGAAAACAACTATAAAAATAATAATTTTGATTGCCTATTTGCAAAGGTTTTCCACCAAAGTAATAATCTTATGGCCAACGTACAAAAAGAAATTATAACTGAAATATCTTTGTAAGAGACTGGAGTCCATACTAGATACACTTCTGGATACATAATTCGAGCCACCACGCATTTTCAGTATTAAGTGCCCTAAGCTTAAACAATGTTTGATTGATCAAAAACTATTACACAAATTTGAAACTAGTATACTAAACTTCTTTTCCGTAAGTCCTTGTTGGGAATTTGGATTTGCAAAACCGGGGGATTTTTTTTTTCGACGATAACACTATTTTTATATTCTAGCCCTTTACGACAAAAATGCGAGGCGGTTCGAATTATGTGTCCGGGAGTATATAAACCTGTGTCACGGATCTCCAGGCTCTCACAGGACATGTGCTTGAGAGAAAGAATATTTTATTTTTAGTCTAGTCTACCGATTTAGGCCCGAAAAAATAGGTCAATTTCCAACGTGTTGCTGTTAAGCAATTTTTTAATACTATTGATTTATTTTTATTCATGAGGATCATTGAAAACCTGTTGCAATCTGTCAATCTGGATTAAAATCTTATTAACACAACACATTCATGGACAGGAGTTTATGTATTACTTTGTGGTAAGAAATTCTCGGTTTGTTTGCACTTTTACTAACCCAAAAAGAAAAAACATATGATTTCGCTTTTTATTTTTTAACAAAAATATCATGCTATTTTTTTTAATAAATCAACAATCGTACTAAAAATTTAACGTCAATGCCTTTGTTTTTAATGCGATAAATAACTAAAATGAATAAATTATTTGTGTACTTTATCAACTTTTGCATGATAACAATGCCTGAAATCCGCTGACCGGATGTAAAGGTATACGTGTGCGTATCTTTGTATAATTATTGTATCAATGTTATAATCATGTGGCTTCATATTGGATTAATATTGAAGCTGTTTTCGTTATTTTATTAACGCGGATCGTCTATGCTATTGTATGATCTTCAATATCTATGGTGGCATTGACTTACAACTTCACAGAGATGGCGTTCTTAAACAAGAAAGAGATACTATTTGTTATTTACCAGCTTTGCTAGATTGCCATCTATCGTGAAGTTACATTTATTTTGTATTGCGTTCCGTCCGCTACAGTGTTTGTTTTTTTAATTTATTTTACTTAATTGCCCTATACAACCACACTCACTTGCATTTATGTGTTCCGTATTTTACAATAACACTTGTCTGTTATGTATTAAAAATATACGTAAATATTTTATTATGTGTATTGCCCTCACTGGATGTTTATAAAACCTATTTGTTAAAAGAAATTTTTAAATCTTTTATAACCAAATACGAATCCGACATTTGCTTTGGGGTGTTGCCATTTACTTACTCAAAAAAAAGAAAATGATTATCAGCGCTTGTGATTGGTTTACCGTGTAATGCTTATTCGGGAGTTATATTAATCAAAATACATTTTTAATAGTTGCGTTCATATAATGTCGGGTTGGATGTGATTAATTGTTGTATGTATTGTCTCATCATTACTTTCACCTATACTCTCATCTCCATGTATATGCATGAGTGTGGTTTATTTTCCATTTCTGTAAACGTTTCTTTACCATTCCCACTGTAGTTTGTATAATAGAAAAATCGCTGAAATGCGACGTTTCTAGCTACGTAGTATTTAGCCATTGAGCTTAGTTAAATCTGTCGCGATAATTGACCAATGGCGGTGGACTGGTGTCTGATTGGTCAGTGATCACGTCATGTTCTCATTGGTTGTTGGTTTGCTAGTAGTCGTTAGTTGCTGTTTTCTGTTTTCGGCAGTTATTTACCCATACCATCAGCATTGCAGAAGCATGTACTTCCACACTGTAGCATCGACTGTTATCATTCTATAATTTCACAAAAATAATAACGCATATGTGCCGTATTTTCCGTAAAAAATGGATACATTATCTGCTTTTAATAATAAGGTTTAACTGTTTGGGTTGGTAAAGTTAATGGAGAGCACTGAATTATGTATATTATATGGTGTGTTAGTTTTAAGACTTCACCTCTAATCTGTGGTACGGGATTGCTTTCATCAATGTTTCCTTTCCATGGATTGTGTTGTCTAGTGTATTATACACAACAATGTTGTATTTTCACAAATTCCTTAACATGTTACACATCTCGGTTATTTCTTTCTGTACAATGACATTTTTAATTTGTAAACGAGTTTCCTAATTATTTATTTAACATTCTTTATTGGAAAAACACTCTATGATGAATTGAATCTTTATTCGAATTTTTACTCTATGGCATAACATGAGTAGGTGTTATAAAAAAAAATAAGGATTGAAATTCAAAATTTTGGAAGACGTGCGTTCGTAAACTAACGCTAACGCGCGCCACAGGTTCCCTCTGGCGGTACATACGCGCTTCGATGTCGCTCAGCGGTTACATGCCACCTCTGTGCGATCCGGTAGACGGCCACCTCCTATTGGACGGCGGTTACGTCAACAACCTCCCAGGTAAACCAATCACAAAGCTCCGACGCTTCTGTGTAGCGTACGCGACTTTCAAATTAGTTATCACGCACAAACGGAACAGGATCCGTTGTAGGCTGAGTGGAAATATTTGGTGTAGTATCTGGTACTTTGTTTTTAAATAATGTAACAAACGTAACAAATTAACATTCGTGCTAACATTTTACTCCGGATGAATTTGTTAAATTATAATATTATTGGGCTATTTATTAGAAGAGAAAAAAACTAACCACACCAATATTCTGCTACCTATTAGCACATTCTCATTTAGGAATTAGCATATTGCACTACTGCTTAGTACTACGTCATTAAAATCTGTCGCTTTCTTCGCTTCGTATCGATTTTTCAATTTAAATATCATGTAAATAAATAACGACCGTAATAGAGTATGAATAAGTATAGGAATAGCGTATATATGTCATAAAAATAGCATATCAATATTTTCAATTTCACTGATACTCTAACAATACCGATAGCACTATTAATTACACGAAATCATTTGTATATATAATATTTGGACAGATTGTGTACTTCAGTTACGTTATACAAAAGAAAATAGTTTAAAAAAGTGAAAAATATTTTCATATTTCTGAATTCACATTTGAATTTGAAACACTAAGCAAAATTAATATCAGAAAAACCTTTGGTACAATAACAAAACATTCCAAACAATATTTACACTCAGCTACCGTATAACTATCACAAACGGTAAGTAATGGCAACCTCATAAAGCTCCGCAGTACACCGTACATGTACGGTAACAAGTAGCGCTACTCAATCAGGTATGCTATGGAGGTATTGTCGAGCGTCTATGAGCATCGCAGGCATATTCCCGCCAATATGCGATACGATCGATGGACACTTGCTGCTAGATGGGTGCTATGTTAACAATGTGCCAGGTACGTAGACTAGTTATTTATTTAAAATATTTACTTAGTTATTTTCAGGCTTAGGTGAAGTTATTACAGACTAGAAAAATCTAGGTTGGTGACGTACCTTTATTGCCTGCTAGAAACGTCCAATAGTTTTATGAAGTAAGTTTCTTCATTGCGGGCTAGAATTTACCCTAAAATGATGCTGTTAGTTTCGTTATTGCCGATTAGAAAAATTGTCTAACTCCATGATTTACGGTGTTCAAGAAAATTCCATAAGGTCCACGACGTAAAGTTATCTACGCTGTTAACGTAAAAAAAATTATGGCGACTACATGAAATAATAAGTAAATGAATATTAGACAACATCAGATACGTTGCTCTGACTCCAAAATAACTAACTAAAGGACATTTGTTATGGAAATCGGAAACAACGGCGGTACCACAAACACCCAGACCCGAGACAATATCGAAAAGTTAGTTTTACTTCATTGCCCCGACCCGGGATCAAACTCGGGATCTCGGAGATAATGACACCATGAAAACCTGTGTGCAATCCATGCGACCACGGAGGTCTTCACAACAAAAGCACACTACGTTGTTGCCGAAATTCCTCTATTGCCTGCTAGTGAAGTTCTCTAGGTTCAATGACGCAAATTTTTCAATTGCTATCTAGAAGGTCTAGGTCTCTTATTAGGTCAATGACGTAATTTTCTCTATTCCTGGCTCACGGTTGCAAAATGTTCCTAATTTAATTTCTAATTAGTTATTGATCCCCAATGTTATTATATTTTATTATTAATATTCCCACATTATGTTGACAGCTGACGTAATGAGGTCTCTTGGAGCCAAGCACATTCTCGCGATTGATGTGGGCTCGCAAGACGACACCGACCTCACTAACTATGGAGATGACCTGTCAGGATGGTGGCTGTTGTGGAAACGGTAAGATAATTTTTTAAAAGACATACGCGCTTACTTTTTCTCTTTTTCCAACAGCTTCAAATAAAAGCATTGGAAACCAGTAACTTTCTCTCAATAATACCATACTATAATAAAACAAGTATAACTCCCGTCTGTTCGGCGTATACACGTACCTACACGTACCTCCCAGGCGTAGGGTTGTTACCATTATTTTAATTGTATGGTACAGGTTGCAAAACATAATTTGAAAAAATTAAAGTACTTATCAGAGTATTCTCGTGCTACATTAAAACTATTGTTAAATGCAGTTCTTACACGTTGCTATTTATATAGCAGCAACGCGGATTAGTATTTCGATTAGTATGATCATGAAATAGAAATGAAATGCGAATTTGTATAAACATAGCGATATAAATCATTTTATTATTTGACCTACGTCTGCTGTCCCGATTTTTTTCGTCCTATACAATGAAATAATCCTTACATAAAACTGAGTCGATCAGCACTAAAATTTTAATCAATTTTTTAGTTTTTATGAACAACTCACGGTTGACCAAAAAGTTGACTATGCCAAAATAGTTTTCACAAAAAAGATGCTTTCCTTGTATCTTCTATGGTTTCGGATTTCCCCATACAGTATCATTTGGAAAAAACACTGTATATTGAACACGGAAAAATATTTTAAATTTTTTAAAAATCGAGCGAACGCTTCAATTCTATAATAAATGGGGCGTGCAATCCTGCGCGCGTTGTGCAACGCGAGATTATGGGTGCGTGCGTACACGTCGCGCTGCGGGCGTGCTTACATACAAGCCGCGCTTTTACGCTTGTATGGAGTTACACCATTGGGTTGGTTTTTTATTATTTAAGTATTCAAGTATATTATCGTGAAATATGAAATAATATTTCAGGTTACTACACTGGAATATTAAATAATACGTCATGATAATATTCTAGAATATTTACATAATAAAAATTGCCACCAATATTAGAAAGTATCCTGAAAATTACACTGCTTATCGTATTATTTTATGGTAATGCTGTTTTTTTTTATTCGCTTTCTAGAAAATATTCTCACCCACTCTTGTTAGAACTGAGTTTTATGATTATTGTATCTGTTACAGATGGAATCCATTCACAACACCAGTCAAAGTACCAAACTTGCCCGATATTCAGAGCAGACTTGCGTACGTGTCTTGCAATCGGCAACTAGAGGTAAATTTCTACCAATCCATTATATCATTTATCTACACACATATCATAAACCCTCTATGATGTGTTCAAAAACCGCACTTACGACTAACATAAAGATTGTTAGAACAAATTTCTTATCTGTGAAAATTGTTAAAAATGTTATTATTGCTTAATAATAACATCAAATTCGATTTTATTATTACATTCAAATTCAAAAACAAAACAATTTGATTCGACCTCAATTCCTAATATTAGTCGAGATGAAGTTTTATTCGAAATGAAACGTCAATTTTAACAAATCTGGCAAACAATTTTAACAAATCTCACACGTTACTTGATATCGAACGACAAACTAGAGTCGGCCCCAACTATCATAATAGTTGGGGCCGACTCTAGTTTGTCTATAAAAAAAAGCTACAGTGTGTGACATGCTTGAGAAAAGTTTTTATTTACCGCCACTTCGCCAGTCGTAACATGCGGTCCCTGAACACGTCATAGAGAGCTTATAATATGTGTCACATCATAGAGAGCTTATAATATGTGTATAGATAAAGCAGTGTATGTAGCTGTACATAATTAGGCATTAAAACACTCGTGAGATGTTTGTAAACCCACACTCGTGTTTTAATGCTTTTCATTATGTAACAGTCACATAAAACTACTATTATTGTTAAACAACATTATTGTTGCAGTATGTTTTATCTATTTTATGGCATACAAAATAATTTATTAATTTTTATTGATACAAAGATCGAACAACACAAAGAAAAATGATTTCGGTCTGACTGAGACGAACCAATATCTGTTGCCATACCGGGGTCACCGCTCTTACCAACTGAGCTATAAAAGTTGTGGAGAAACGGTTTGACAACAAACACGTTCGATCAAGAGAACTGCTAATAGCAATGTCGCGGCTAGTACCAAATAGCTACTTATAATTTCGACTCTCCGAAGAACAAAGGCCGATGTGATTACAGCGAAAAGAGAATAACTTCGTTATTCAAACTGAAGCCTATGTAAATGTGTTTTGAGAATTTATATACCTTAGTTCGTTTCGGAAACATAAAATCGAACAACGGCCGATCTGACATCCACAGCGAAGAAGAATGAACGAAATGTACTATGTCCTGGAAACAAGTAGTTTTGCACATAGATCTTTGTTCTACAGATGAGTCGATTTGTTTTACATTGACAAGCGACTCTAATTTCTACTGATAACAAACAAATCAACTAAATGGCGCTTATTGCACAGATTTTTAAGAATAGTGCTAGCTATTCTTTTTTTTTAGGATTAGCGCCGTCTACTTATATTAGGAAGAGTTAATTTATAAATTTGTTTGTACCAGACAGAAATAGGCAATGTGGCAGCGTTTCCCTAGACAAACTCTTTTACAAGGAGCTCTACTCCTACTAAATTTGACTGTTAAATTAATCTTTATTAAACGAATATTTATTTTTATTCAAGGAAGTAAAGAAATCTGACTATTGCGAGTACATCCGTCCACCGATAGACGCGTACAAAACCCTTCAGTTTGGTTCGTTCGACGAGATTCGCGAGGTGGGGTACAGACACGGAGCTGCATACTTTGAAGGGCAGCGGCGCGGCGGCGGCGGCGGTGTCAGCGGTGCAGCGGCGGAGGGGAAGAAACCTGACGCCCAACCATCGCTTACTGAGTAAGCCGTAGAGTAATACTTTTAAACCGTTTCCGCCTTAAATGCCTCCGCTCCTTTATGTACACCAAATGGTCCGATCGAGTGCGTAATACCGAAGTCCTGCGACGAGCGAATATTGATGGTATTGAAGCTTACCTAATATATCGACAGCTTAGTTATTGCGGTCACGTATCACGTATGTCGGAGGATAGACTGGTGAAGCGCGTTTTCTATTCTGAACTTGAAGAGGGTCAAAGTCAAAGAACCATTTAAATATACTACCATGTAAAATTTTTACACTTGAAAACGTAATTTTTTGAAGCTACTGCTCGTTCACTACGCTGACCTCCCCGAGAAGAAAGAGCAAGAAACTCTAGGGATTGCCCTTTTCAAATAAACTTAAATGCTATGGAATACACTTTAAATTATAATTGTGTGGAGTCTAGACTCTTGTAGACAACAAGAGTCAACAATTATGATTATGACAGACCAAAACAAGGTGTACATATGTAATATTATCCCAACAGCTACACGTTCACCGACCTGGCCCAAATGGTGTGTTCAGTGCGCACAGGACGCGACGGAGAGTTGGACTCGGCGTCCTCGTCGGACTATGAAGAGGACCAGAGGCACTTCGAAGGGTATGCCTCTGAGCCTAGCGCTGGGATATTGGAGGTATGTACCTGTTTGGTGTTCCAGTGGAAAGTTCATTTAATTTTCTTTTATCTTTTTTAGTCTCTCTTTCTTTATTTCTCCCTATTAAAAATTCGCTAAAATAAGTTCCATTGCTTCAAAAATACCGATTTCCTTAATACAAATTTAGAAGTAGTGTATAAAAATTGAAAGTAAACTGCTTCGGTACACTTCGAACCCAGTAAAGGTTAAATCGTACAAAATAGCTGCAATTACGAGATCATTTTCATGTCGTTAATTTTTCTCTCCGCATAAAATTCATAAAATAAATAATACAAATATAACCATTACTAAAAATACCCATGACACCTCTACGAGGCATCATTAGTGCCTCTACCACGAATTGACTGTGACAGTTGTCGCTATTGACCGCGTAAATTACTTTACAATTTTGTATGGCAAATCATACAGCGCTCCTACCGATCACAAGAAGAAAAACAACTTGTATACAAACATTTTACGCGGTCGCTAGCGATAAGTGTCACTGTAATCTCATGGTAGAGGCGCAGGTAGTGATGACTGTTCGACGTTCGGCAGAAGAATGAGTTTCCTCTTTTTATCCTCTGACACTTTGGGGGTGTTTCGTATCACCATTAAGTCGTATTTTATTTTAGTACATTTTCAATTTTCTGTTGATCGTAATATTTTTTGTTTCAAGAAACGAAAGTACACGTTATGCTTCTGCAATATGGTCGCTTCTTTTTTTGGAGAATTTTGTAAATATCTTGAATTCATTGTCGTTCAGCTATTGACAGCTAGATGGCAGCACATTGACTGAATTTTCAATATGAAATCAAAACGTCGTCATTTGTAATAACAGGTAGTAATAGTATTGATATTACGATATGTCAACTGGGTAAAGTTTAAATTATGTTAACAGTCCAGAATTTGTTATTTCTTTTTAAATTAGAAACTAGGACCAATCATTATCAAGATTTCATAAGTGTTTTAAATTATGATTGTGAGAGTTTTCAATGTTCACCAAAGCGCATTTATTTTGCACGACCTAGCTTTCGTTGGGTTCATAGAGTACCAAAAGTTATTTACTTCCATATTTATTAAAATGATTCTTCGCAAAGTAACGCGTGAATCTATAGTGTGTTTCAATTCATGTATTCTGCGTAATTTCGAAGCAATAACAGTCTTCTAAAGACTATTTAGAAGAACATCGCCCTTTTCCCCCAATTTCCAGCAGCCCTTACCATTAACTTAGTAGAATAGATCTGGTGATTGTGAGGTGAATATTTGTATGTTATTATTTGTAAAATATCGATATTTTAATTTTACTTGGATGTAATTAACTATCTTATTGCACCAAATTATAATAGTTATACAAAAGTTATTAAAATGATGAACAGGTTAATCATTTCTCTATCTGTGTGAGGCGATGGTAACAATATGTCACTTGCACTTAAAATCTCTACATATTTATAATATATCTTGTGTCTTGTATTATATTATTTACATAAAAACAGGATGAAGATTTATTGACAAATAAATTTTATACCTTAGGAAAATCAATAAATTTTTGTTAAAGTCAATATGGTAGTAAAGGTCTAGAATCTCATAATAAATGGGAATATTAAAATTTTACTTTGGCAAGGTTTTGGGTGTAATTGTAATTGTGACTTTTTAACATCTGACAGATGAATAACGGACGATTTGGTATTAGTAAACCGCGTATTACAATAGTTAATAACTTTTTTAGAAAAATAATGCCGACCTTCTAAGTTCTTGGAATTACATCTATTTGCCAAGTTTTATTTAAATCATCTTATTAAATTTAAATCATCATATATTTTTTTAAAGTAATTATGTATTATTTATTCCGTAGTCTTTTTCCTCTTATCGTATTGATGACATACACTATAAGACTGATTACACATGGTGCCACGGCGGCAGCGTTTGTTGCCACCGTGGGGTTGCAAGAGTCGCGGCATCATACTGCAACACCAGCGGTGCGATTGCAGCCCATGCCGCGTGATCAACTGAAATCGTACATTATTAGACAATTGCTGCAACCCCGCCGCCGCGGTGCGTGTATGAAATTGTGTAAACAAATGCAACGATGGCAAAACAGCGGCGCCATGTGTAATCAGCCTAATGCTTGCCATCATGGTCAAAGGATTTTCCAATCGGTGTAAGGTATTCGCCGACTCTTGTCCAGGGTGCGCCATTCATACATGAGTGGTACGTCGTGCGGGGAGGCTCCGTAGTAGTATGAATAAATAATTAATTTAATACAATCACAATTTGGAAAACCAATTAATCGCTATTTATAGCAAATCCTTTAATTAAATTTTTATTGAATTGATATTCAATTATTTTTTTGTGAAATTACTCCACTAACAAAAACTAGCAAATCCTTTGTTTTTTGAATGAATTAAATATTCTTTATTGGACATAAAAATACAGTTAAAATACAATACAATAGCTTAAGTATAATAGTAGTAGTAATTTAATGTGCAACAGGCGTCCTTATTGCTATGTAGCAATTTCTTCCAGACAACCTTAGGATAGACATTTCGGATTTGCAATGTTTTTTGTGCTGTGAAATCACGTGTTATCTATTGGCAAACGGGGAAACAAAGTAGTCAGTCGTAATTAGTTACGTTTATAGTGTTATTAAATGAAGAATTATTTCGAATTAAGATTGCCATATGAAATTATTTTTATTTTTTTATTTTCATCTGTCATGAGATTCTAGTTCCTACGCTATGGAAATCATTTGAAAAACTTCTATCAATTTGTTTGTTGGATTGTTTTTGCTACCTTTATCTAGAGTAGAATTTCACGCTGAACAAAAGACTGTTCTTCTGTTCAGTACCGGTTGGTTTAAAAATTGGTCGTAATTTAAAAAAGAAAATTGTCAAAATTATAATTAAATTTGTACAGAAATCATCAAGCTTAGAAGAAGGTGCGGCGTGGATATCTGACACAGAACTGGTGGGCAATTGCTCCTACTGACACCTGCACGACTTAGATGGTTTAGATTTTTTTTTTGGTTTTTGTGTATTGCAGCACTGTTCGTCTTGGTATTTATTTGGGTGAAATTATGACGTCATATTTGGGTGCTTGGTTTTTTTTTTATGTTGTGTTTTTTATGTTGAAAGAGTTCGTTACATACCACATGAATTTTATGTCTTACTTGTTAAATACGCTTCCGTAACGCACTAGTACTAAATATATCTATGGCTTTCTGGAATAGCAGTGTATTTTAAAACACCTAATTCATTACAAAAAGGATTATACAAAAATTTTGATGTATATGTCGCGCGAGGTTTAATTTTAAAGTCCCCAACCAGTTTGGCGGAATTGGGCCAGCGTGGCGGACATATAAACTAGTTGATGATGAATGGTGTGTCGCGCAGAACCGACGAATCGTATACTGACCCAATGTCACCACGTGATTATTTGGACCAATGAAAAGTTCGTATATATAGAATTTAGCGCATTCTCTGAATACAGATATGTAATAAGCCAAAAAATAATTATTTTGATTTGAGCCACTGTTCTTGAAAAGCAGATACGATTGTCCGAACACACTTTTATAATAATTATATGCATAATTAATAATGCAGCATATTTTTTTTGTTTTAAATGAAATGTAGAAACTTAAAAGTAGTTTACGATAGGCTCGATTTACTTTATAAACAAAAAAATTGAAACTGTAAAATGTCTCACACTTTCGGGAATTCGCGCAGCTATCGTGTCATATCTAGTTTGACATAAAGTACATTTTGGTCACAGAACAATAAATACAGTAAAAGTGCTTGAGTTTGCGTGACACGTGTGCTAATAGTACGCGAAGTTCCACATACTTCCTACTCAGTCCACCATTTTCGCTTTGTACGTTATAGTCGTGTCTAATTACCTCGCGCAAAACTTCGAAAATCATAGAAAAATGCCTTATTTTGTTACTTTGGAGTGCATAAATGATATGGTGGTGTTTCATATAATCGTTAAGCCTTATTTAATTTTGTTAAACTTTTAGTTTTCTCTTAATTGTAATAATTTTTTTGTTACAAGAAACGAAAATAAAGTTTATACCTCTGTAATATGGTTGGTTCTTTATTGGAGAACTAAGCAAACATCTCGATATCGTCGTCGTTCAGCTATTAACCGCTAGATGGCAGCACATTGATTGGATTTTCAATATAAAATCAAAACGTCGTAACTTGCAATATCAAGTATTGATAGTATTAAATTTTCAACGATATGCCAACAGGGTAAAGTTTAAATTATATTAACAGTCCAGATATTTGTTATTTCTTTTTAAATTGGAAACTACGACCAATCATTATCAATTTTTCACACCATATTGTCACTTAAATATTCATCCACCGCGTAATAGCATTTTTTAATTAATAGTCTTGACAATTTCCTCCAGAACATATCCAAGGAGAAGATTGTCAACCTTTGTGGCAGTTTGTTGTAGAGTGTAGGCACCAGGGCGCTTTTTTCTTAAGAGCTGTATTACAACAGATGGTGTCAGTGTTGAACATTTGAGGATTTCTAACTTTATACAAATGTCCGTTTTTACTGTAATTTTAATTTTGATCTCGCAGAAGTTTCGTGAACAAAAATCGTTACGTAAAAACGTATAAAACTTTATTAGTCACTAAAACGACATTAACGCCATCTAGTTCATCACCCGTAAACTAGATAGAATCTGTATGTTAAAAGTATTTTTTTTAATTACACAGTTGTGATAATAAGGACTAAGTAAAAATATACTAAATAAATACCTCTATATATGTATGATTATCGTCTTAAAGTTATAGGAATAAAGAACTCTTTCAACTATTTTATTATTAACATTTTTAAGTTCCATCATCGTGCATGACGCAATAATTTCCAGAGCTATTTGACACAGGTTTCTAACATTTTTGCCAGCAGCCCAAATTGTTCCTCGAATTATTTTCATAGGGTATTTGACACATTACGAAAATTAAATACTTTTGCATTAGCAAATTCTATTTTGTAAATACTTACACATTTATGATCCAGTGTGAAAACAGAATTGAAATTCATTGTATAATAAATAGTTATAGGCTTTCAGAACTCCGGGAATGACAAATATAATCTCAATATTTTTTGTGACCAACTTAATGATGCCTCACAAACTAAATACTTAACGAATGACAGTGCATCCTGTCACTACTATTTTTAACACGCAAATTTATCTGGCGTTAGTTTGTAAAAACGAATTTCAGATTGATGCCAGCATGTTCATGTGAAATAATAAAAGCAATAAAAAAATTAAGTCAAAAACCCTATTGCAGGCAAATTATGCACTAACGCCTATATGAATAATACGCTTTTTTATATGTCAACGAATACACAGCACGATGGCTCATGTTATACTGGGGCATGCCTGAAGGTGAACAGGACTGGTCTGCAAATTAATTTAATTTTTAAAACTTTTTGCCTTTAGCGGTGGCAATTAGGACTCGCACACCTAATTAGCTATCGCTAATTTTCATGGGTCCATTGGCCAATCGGTGTATACACTGTTGCATCTGCGGGTTAACCGCGTAAAGAAGTTTCCGCACTTATAGACGTTTTGCATGGATGCAAAGCTTCTTTTCACTCCTCTAGTCTATACGTCAAGAAGTGTGATGATAAAGGCGAACCATGGCCCCATGGCAATGATATTTTGTCTTTCTGGCTGGGTATTTATTGCCTTATATATTTCCATCATCGAGGCGAGGCGAGACGAGCATTGAAATTTGTATGACAAAATTTCAATTTTCTCCTAGCGCAAGATGCGCGTTGGAAATGGTTTGGATTGACGAGGATGTGCGAGACGAGAATTGAAATATTTGTTGGTGTAATATTGAACCTTATTGCTGCCATCATGGAGTGTCACTCTGCAACGGATTATATTAATTTTTCTTTTGAGACTGTTAGGGTGTACGATTTAAGATTTAAAAAAAAATCGCTTTTCTGCTAATAATTGCACAGTGCCTCACAGTTGAATTTTCTAAATTTGTCTACCAAGTAATTTACTCTATTGGCATTTCAATATTTTTATTTTAGTAACCGCAAACTCAGTGCGAGCGCGCGCTATTTAAAATGGCAATGGCAATCTTTAATGGAAACAAACCGGCGAGATTTCTATTCTTGCCTCGTCTCGTCCCGCTGGAGGAAAAGCACCTTAAGACCACATAACAACAGATATCTAGTAGAACAGTGGTTTGCATGCCAACACTGGGCCGGACAGACAAAATGTCAGTATATTGGGTTGTTTTTCGCCTTTCAGAATTTCCCGGCCATATATTTTTATTAATACTTTGCTTGGTTAACATTGGCCCGGCGCAGTGTTAGTCATCCGTGAGGCATTTTTTAAGAAGTCCCAAACTTAAAATAAAATCCATTAAATTCTAGGAAGGACTACGCACTCGTCGAGTAGGCGGTTCGCTCTCACTATCGGAAGACGAGATCGACAGCGAAGCTGAAGTATACGACCCGCTCAATAAACGTAAAACAAACGTGAGGGCTGAATCGCTCAGGTGAGACCCGACCTTGCACGACCTGTGCAAGGCGCTCTTCGAATACGTAGTGTACGGCGATAAGGATTACTTGGACTAAGTGTCAAATAGTACAGATAATTTGGACTGAGTATTGAAACTTCTGTGTAGTGGTAAAAGTAATTTGGAGTCCATGATAAATTTTCTTGAACTAAGTTTTAAAATGTGGACTAAGTTGGGAAGGATAGAAATAAATTGGACTGAGTTTCTTCTGTATAGTTAATTCTAGTGCCTAGTTTATTATGGTGTAAGGAGCCTTAGTTTAGTATGCAAATATATTATACAAATTCTCATATTATCAGTGGAAAGGTAAAAAATTTAAGCGTGGGGTATTCAACAGGCGCGAATTACAAACATATAACAAAGCAAGAAGTACCACGAGAAAGTGGCGAATCATCAAATTACTGAAGCGCCTGAAAACTTCTTGGATCGCTACGAAAATTAGACGAAAATTAGATTGATGTAGAAAAATAAAGCCAATAATTTTTACCTTTCCATAAGGATATAAAACTTTAAAACCTAATTAGATATACACGACCCGTAAGCCTTGTCATAATTAAGGCTGATTTGTATTGACTTTGTGAAGTAATGCGGAGAAATGTAGAAAAGTTATATATATTGGATTAATACAGGTAAATTGAGTAATAACGCCTTTAACACTCTCCGCGTATATTACTCAAGCGTAGAGCACATGAAGATGTGCAATAGGATGATAGAAACTGATAAATTGTAATATAATTGTTCCTATATGGTTGTATAATTGAATATAATGCCCTAGTAAACAAATTTAATTACGAACTAAGCAGCGAAATAACTACTATTGGGTGTGGGGTAATAGACCAAATACGACAGTAGAAAATGACTTTGAAAAGTTTACGCGGTAGGTATAAAAAAAACTAATTCTTGGGCAGTAACTTTTTTAAGCTGTCATGGAATTGTTAGATAGAGTTAGTTGGAACTGAAAGCTGCGAGCTTATGAAGAACTCGATATAAAAGGCAGAGTTCCATATAATAGATTAAGGACTGGCTGGCAATTGCCACACGGTTAAAATAACGAAAAACAATACTGTTGTCAGTATTGTTCCATATTACTGATATTGTCTGACCAGTTTCTAAATTATGTGGCATAACGATTGTGTATCACAATTAATCAATTTGTGTAACAATTTTATATATTAACACATTCGCATAAGTTAACTATCTAGTTACGCGGATTCACAGTTATGCGGCAAAGTTTTTGGAATACCAGTGAAATTATGACGCGTTTACACAACGTCGATGAGTCGTTCGAAGTTGACCGAGTCGACTAGGTGTAATCACTGTCAGGCGACTCGGCCGCCGTCGACAAGCGAAACGAAGGCCAGAAAAACAAGATTTCCCATAGATTATCTTATCGAGATATACCCGATAAATTTGTTTAACGTTTCGAACTATTTTTTGTGTCTCCGAGCGTAAACAAGTATTTATAGTGATTCCGGCAAAGGTGACCGTCGACTCGGTTAAACAGCGAGTCGACTACAGCGCCTTTGGTAGTCGAATTCACTTGCCGAAGAGGCGGCAGTTGACGCAGTGTAAACAGCAAGTCGTCAAGGAGAAGTAGTCTGCCGAAGGCGGTAGTTGACCCTGTGTAAACACGCCATATTTTTTCTAAGATACATTGAAGATATTTAAAACAATATATCATACAATTTTGAATATTTGCCACCAGTGATTTCCAGAAATTTTAACGCCAAGTAATTCTGACTCATAAACCTTTGACCTGGCGTAAGTAGTTAGTCGTATTAGGTACTAACTTACGAAGGTAACCAACAATATTATTTTAATATAGATATTGTTATTAGAATAGATGGATCTTAGAGGCCAAACGAGGCAAATAAAGATGACTAAATAGGCTTATGAAATTAGTAAAACGACAATGTTTAAAAACAATATTATGTAGACATTGTTGTCGTGGTAATTGTCTTTATTTCCTTTCTATAATTTTACATCATAATATGTTTGTTTAGTCGTGTGAAAGATACTGATGTTAGTCGATTGACGGCGCATTTTTAAAGCGAATATCATCTGAGAAGTCTGATGCGACCGAACAAAATGAAAGTATAAGGAAAGCAAGTGGAGGTCCGTAATCTCTGCTTGCCCCAGTGGTAGAATGTCGTAAAAGTACTGTATGTATGTATTATATTTTAGTCATTTAATAAAAACTCGAAAACACAGCCAACTTTTAAGTAGTTATGTCCTTAGACCAGTAGAGAATTCAAACTCTGTGAAATTCAAATACCTGAATAAATCTAAGTTAGTAAATGTTTTATGTATTAAAAAATATGCTGTGATTAGTATTTCCGATTTTGTTTTGGGAAAAGATATATAAGAAGCCGCACTTACACATACGCTCTACAGTAAGCTCTGTCTTAATAAAGCTATCTCAAGTACACGATTAATTAATTTCAAGTCGATTGTTTTAATTAAATCATATTAATGATTACTCCTTAATTATGTATTTGCTAGTGGTTAAAATTTCCGTTTATAAACGTCACTCAGCACTCAAGTCATGGCTTAAGATCGTTACAATTATACCAGAATCTCGTGACACTAAATAACGGAAAAAATCGTACGACTTTCACCTGGCGATGTTAACTTGTCACATGTCAACTCAAAATATGAATTGTGTCTGTAGAACTATTGTAAAGCGCGATTGCATCGATACACTCGCTTATGTTGAATAATTATGTACGAATAATCGGTATAGGTTTATGCACAATATTTTGTTTTGTTCATTGTAAATTTAAAAATGAAATTAATAAATACATTAAATAAATAAATTTGTTAATTAATTTAACGCGTGCATCGCGTTTGTATCGCGGTTGTATCGCGTTTGCATCGCGTTTGCATCGTTGTTTAAAGTCGCCGTGTGTAACCGCTCTAAGTGCCATAAGATTCTGGTATATATTAAGTCCTGATCAATCAAGTACAGGGTCTTCGTCACTAGATATTAATCATTCAAGATGCCGATGATTACAATCTAGTCTATAGTTTATGAGGGCTTGAGATACGTCACGAGATCTGGGTGACATGTCAGCTTATACGCACCTAATGCGCGATTAGCGTAGTGTAAATTTAGCTTTAGGGCTTCGTGTTAAGGTCGGGAATAGTGATATGTATTTTAGTCGCATAAATGAAGTGCCATATAATACAAAGAGTAGAAATATGTGATGCACAAATATAGGTTATTGACTACTTTTGCGTACGCTGCTTTTGCGGATGTTTGTACCGAGCTCACCGCCTATTGGTGATTAGTATTCTTAAAGCAATAACCAGACTTAAGTTGAGCTTTTACATATAATCTGCTAAAACAGGGTTCGCTTTTAGATAAATTTATGAGTTGCTAACATTAAATAAAAGCGAATAATAAAATTTATAAAAAATCTAAAATGGTACTTACTAATTACACGCACAAGGTATTTTTTAACTCAATGATAAATTAGCATTAGAAAAAAAAGAACGGGTTTGGAAATAGTTTAATTGTATTTTCGTTTTGTATATTGGTATCTAACTCTCTTCTAAGTTTGTACTTAAAATTAGGAGACCGTTCATGCCAAACGATATAAGAAGCATTCATTACCAAGATTAGAATAGGCAGTCTATATATTTACCTAAATTTGATGTAGTACCTAAAGTTCATAGAGTTGATAACCTCCGTCTGAAATCCTGGAATAATTAAAAATATAAGGTATAAAACCAAAACATTAAAGCTATATTTTTATTTACAGTCACAAAACTTTTACTCTAAATACTCTGCCATGGGGTTACCATTCCGAAATTTAAATATTAACGACAAAAAAAACGTGACATTTGCAAGAAAGTTCTTTTAGTACAGAGATGGACACGCGCACCGGCAACAAAGTTTTTGTCCAGTTTTACTACATATCGAGTTCTTAGGTTTTCGCGATTGTTACACATAGGAAATGACACTATTTTTCCGGATTTAAATCGCGTATATTTGTTTTTTCAAACAAACCGTTTGAAAACTACAGTATTGCGTGGTGGATATTTTACTTTTTATTCTGAAAATTCTTACCCTAAGCTGAAAAATCCGTACTAAAAGAGAAAAAGCTGGACATGTTCGGATAAATCCAGGCGGACGGTACTCCCGTAGTATTTGCTAGTTACAATAAATAATTTAAAATTTCAGAGGGGTATTAACCAATCTATTTGTATTACTTGAAGTTAGGTAAATATGCTTTGCTCATTCCGATCTCCTTATATCGTAATTATTCTGTATTATAATCTCCGTGCTTTATATATGCTTTGTCCTATACTATCACATAAAACGTGTTACGTGAAACTGAAAAATTGTACCCTAAGTATGTTGCGGAATATAATAATTAACCTCTATTGAGAAAGTTAATATGGATGTCAAAGAAAAATCGACAATAGTAACATCGGGTTAGGGTCCAATAGTAACTTGTCAAGATGGCCTCATATTGTATCACGTCTCACGAACTTGCACTGTATACCTTAGGAAGCGGGTCGTCTGAGGTAACGTAGATGCGTCTGTAGCGGTGCTTTCATCAGTGCATATCTAGACATGGGCGGGGTCGGTGCGGTATGAGCGATTCTGTAATTGGTTAAATTAATATGAAAAGGGCGGGGCCGGTGTGTGTCTTTCCGTGTTCGTCAGCTGTGCGAGGAAATCTATAAAATCATAGCACGGGGAGGCTGCCTCCAGGATTACCCGTATGTTGTAAATAGTTTCAACAAATTTATTGTGCAATATTTTGTAATAAAATCAAATGAGCTTGATATTATTTTCTAACAATGATTTTGCATCGCTTCTCCCCAATGTAGATATCCTTTAATATATACTCTGTATGAAAACGTGTATTCTATTCTATAAGGCACAAAACTGTAGTCAAGAGTATGTCAAATGTAAACCGGTCTTATCGTAAGCGGCGTAGAATTGAAGTGTTAAAGCTTGACGTACTTTTGATCTTGTACGTGTATTTGTAATTATAATGCAGTTATTGCATGATTGTAATATATGAACGACTGATATTTAGCTTTAAGACCGCTAACATTCCACTATTCTTGTGAAAATTGTCCCTTGATGCTACTTCTGGGATTATTGCTCCCAAAGAGTCTTAGAAATCATTTAATGGGTACATTCTGGAGTCTTATAATGGATACATTACAAGACTCCAGAAGTCTTACAGAGCTGTTTAAGATTGGTTAAAGTTGACGATTGTATTATTGACATAAATCATTTAATAATCTGTTTCGTTATAATGTATGTCTCCCTTATCCGATCATTTAAATATAGAATGTGACAAATATTAACCTTATATCTAAATTGTTAAGGTAAATTTTTAATTGCAGTAGCGAAAACATTGTAATGCCAACATTGACCTAACGCCAATAAATACTGTAAAACTTGAATGATTCCGAAGAAAAACTTGTTTCAACGAATTTTATTTTGAATCAATGTCGTGTCAGGCAAACTTTAATTGGAATAGTGGAACGATGTCGGTACAAACGTCTCCTAGAGGGAATAAAAATACCAAGCTGTAGCTCAATTAGCGTAATTAAATATTAAAAACAACTCCTGTATTCTTTTAAACTCAATAAACATGCTTAAATACACACACGTTTCTTTTATTTGATTGTGTATTGTGTGATAACAAGTCAGTATTCTAAATTAAAAAATAAGTTTAGTCTTTATAGGATTTCCAGTTAATTGCTTTGATCAGGCGCTCCTTGATTTGAGCAACCCTTAGGAGATAGCTGTGAACATTCACAATGGCTGCGTTGTCCCCATAGTCATTTTTTATAGTTTCAACATTTTCAATGCACATGGTTCTGTAGTTGTGTCCAGTTTTAAGTCCATAGCTGGTTGTCTCCGACGTTCCGTCCCATTCCTCGTGAGTCCTGATCTTTATCATTTTAATCTTTCTTTCCCAGCGTGCTTTCATATGTTTTCTGATGTCGGAACAATCGCACAGGTTGATTAGAACTTGCATACAACGTAGTTGCATTAGAGGTTTCGTATGTGTGTGACAGAGGGTGACCAAACGTTTAGTCAGCTCGTTGCAGGCCTCCTTCGCACGCCACTTGGACCTGGTCGTGAGGGTAGTATACGCCATTAAACCGACGGCGCTTATGATTACCTCGACATCTGGAGACACTATAAACCTTCTCAGAACGAAAGTGAGGTCGTATTCATCAGCCAGTTTTCGCCCCACTTCGTGCTTGCACAGTTGGGTCATGCAATCCATCGCGTGGGATACTACAGCTGCATCGGCATCTTCGAAAAGTGTTAACATGACCTGAAATGCGTTTAGAGGCTTTATGGGGTCCCACTCGATTAAGTTGGCTAATGTTTTTAGATGGAGCACAACGATGCCGGCGTGGTCGTGCTTGATCATTTTTAAGAGATTCACAATTATGTCCTCGATATTCGAGATAACTTCGCTGGCGCATCTGTCTCTGGCGAGGGTTTTGAGGGTGCTGGCTGCAACGTACCGTATTTCCTTGCGGTCCCTCATGATCAGCCATATCAGGTTTTCGATAATGATGGGTCTACTCATGATTTGCATGCGGCCCTGGTAGTAGGTGGCAATGTGAGTCAGGATCATGCACACTTTCTCCCTTATGACCGGGTCGCGGTTCTGCATAAGATCGATCAGACGGTACACCACGTGCAAGTCGATCAGGAATAATGCGTTTTCGGATATTTGAACCTGAAAAAGGGCGAAAAAATAGAGAGACATACTTTGGCCGGAAGGTAGGAATTCTATAAACAATCAGACGGTTCACCTGATGGTATGTTTAGTTGTATTTGATTTGGAATCTACAAAAGTCTACCTATTTTATCTAACTTTTGGTTACCTTAAATCGTTTTCATTAGTAAGTGAAACAAAAACACGACGCACCTGATCAAGGACGCTATGTAGAGCCTGCAACTGTATAAGGTGGTCGTTTGAATGTAGATCCCTGTTGATCAACCGCAGTCCAATGTGGCCGAAGCCCAAACGCGCGCGGGAAATGTCCACGTGTGGGGCGTACAGAGATGGTTGCATAGAGTCCAGGCGTTGGGCTGCCGGAGCATCTACAATATGAATTAAGCGATGAAGTAGGTATCACGTGATATTAATTTGCTGTGCTTGATATTAGGTATGAGTTCCCGTAATATGTATGGTTACAGCACTGTAAGGCAATTGATGCACAAAGACAATGTTTGGAGTCTATTAAGATGTGGTGTTGGAAGCAAATGGTAATAATTAGCAGGAAAGAGCTGATTATTGACCATTGAGGAGAAACTTACAAGAGTATAACAAAGCGGAAACATCGTAGAAAACAGTTGTAAACCGAACACGACATGTATGATGGATCAAGCAACACGATATGACGACGTTATTTAAAAAAAAACTGACCGGAAAAGTGGCAGGCAAGCGTGGACGAAGATTACCGAGAATAAAAAAAGACTAGGTACCATGTTGTCTACGGCGATCAGAGAAAAAGCTTTGGAGATAATGGCGTTTGCTGTACGTACGAGAGCTTCGCTTTTAAATTGAAGAAGAGGGAGTCATAACTCCTAATGGAATGGAAATGTTAGAAAATTCCATTAGGAATTTTTCGAATTAACTTATTCAATTAAAATTTTGTTTGGTAATTATTATTGTGTGACGAAGAGGAAACGAAAATTGCGAACGAAACGAATTTTTATAAATTGGTTCTGGTGTGGCTGTTCTGGGATGTGCCCCAGAGTGAATTCCGTTGCTCTGGTACTTATAGTACAGGGAATTCCCTAGTTTGACACCAGGCAATTGGTGTGTGTGTGGCACATCATTATTATTAAATGAATAAATTATAGTATACATATATATTTATACAATGAGATAAAGAAAACAACTTACCACAGTGAGGATCAAAGTGCTGTTTCTCCATGGCCTGATCGACGGCCTTGTTAATGACCCTTGGGTTCATCGCACACACCAGCTGCAAGTACGAATTTTTATGTGGACAAAACATGTTCCTGCCAAAATGTCTCGCGACTAGCCTTATCCAACGGAATTAGATTAGATTATGAAAAAAAAATCGCGTAAAAATTTCACAAAAACCAGTTTGTTTAATAATATTTCCTTTATGGCGGCCACTAGGCTTGTGCCAGCTATAAAACTAACTTAAAAGAATAATATAAAAATTATGGCGATCACCGCCACTGTCAGTTTACGTCTAGGTTATTGTTCTGAGGTTTAGGTTTACAATCAACATAGCCAGCCAGTTTTTTTTATTTTATCCGCCAAACCCATTGGAATTTCGATTTTGGAAATTCGTTTTTTTAGTCGTATTGTTTTCAAAAAGGTTTTATGCATAATTAGGTTATATAAATAGTTATATAATCTTAGACATAGGAATATAATATGTATGTATGTATAAAGGAAGGTTAAGGCTATATAATCAATATGATTCATACGATTGCGATAAAACTCATGAGTTATTGTACTCACGCCCACTAAAGTTTTTGATTGATTAGATCCCACTTTCGGGCACGGGTATCCTCTTAGGCAGGGTTTCTTAACCTTTTTCTAGTCATGGACACCTCTCAGCATTTCAAAGAGCCCACGGACCCTTTCCGAAAAGATGAAGAAGATGGCTTGCGAGTTGCATTGACGCGCGTCTCGCTTA